AAACCGCGTGGGCACGGACCACGCGCCTCCTAATCTCGTTTCCTCCGACGTACCGATACCCCCGGCGCCTGGAGCGTTACCCCCCATCTCTAAGCAGTGGTTTGGACCACCCTGTCCAGCTGAGCGCGAATCGACCTTCAGGTCCTTGAAAGCGTCCCCCATCTCGTGCGTCTTGTCAAAGTCACACTGTGCATCAATCTCTTTATCTCCCTCATAATTGTCCCTGTAACCCCATTTCCTCAGCTCAGGCTTGAGATCACCATCCCACTTACTTTGAGTGTACGGCCAAGAGAGCATGGTCGCCGCTTCCTGATCGTTCATCATCATGGCCTTGATCAGCTGGACACCTCGGCTCTTGGCTTTGCACCAAATGGCTTCTTGTTGTTCTGGGGCGAACTTCTGTGTTTTCTCATCTTCTTCATCGTCCGGATCTAGAGCCCATGGGTCGTCGGGTGGGTCGTCGAGATCGAAGTCATCGTTGGCGCCGACAACCGTGGAGGTATTCGCGTTGTTGACATGCAGATCGCGCAGCTGCAGTGCAGGTAGAAGGCTAGTGACGGTGGCCGGTCGAAAAGGACCATGGATAGCACAGCCAGCTGCAGATTCAACTGATGCGAGGAGAGTGAGGGCTGCGAAAGGCCTCATAGTGAACAAGGCGCTCCTTCCGTTCGTGGAAGGCAGCAGGAGCAGTAGGTGCTGTAGGCGCGCAGCTCACGGGGGAAGTTGAGAAGCGCAGCGTGTGCTGCGTCGAAGTGGATCGCAAATAGCACCTTGACACGAATATTTCGCGTGTTAGCACGAGCCAGTCGTTTTCTATTTGCACGGAAGCTGTGGAAGTGAAAGAGCCCTGGAGGTCGTCAGGTGCGTGCCACCAAGACCTCCAGACTTCGTGTTATCGCATGTACACAACATGAATAGACCACCATTCGCAACGGAAGAAAAGTGGCAATCGAGTGTAGCGGTTAATCAAAGAAACACGTTGCGTGTTGGTCTCAATGGCCCTTTGATGTGACACAAGGGCACAATTACTGGAACAGAGAGATCAACAAAGAGCACTGTAGGAACTAAGATAACCGAAGACACTGAACATCACAATGCTGGTGTAGCAGGAGAATGAGTACGTACCCTAAAACTAGCCTTCTACGTCGCATTCTTAAAAAGCTGGACATTCCCGTAGTGAAATGTACACCTTCACCCACAAAGCCGCAACAAGCCAGACATACGCGCTCAGACTTGCTTTGATAATTACGGCGCACGATCCTGTCCTTCCTGCTCTTGGCCTTTGACTGATCGCGCTTTCGGCGGGAAGTACTGTGAGAATCCTCCAGACGCTGCTCAACAGTGTCGACGAGAAATTTCCATGGGGCGTTTCCAGAAATATAGAATAGAATGAAAGGGTAGTCGTCGCCCAGCTCGAAGACTCTGATCATAGAGATATATTTCCATCCCAACTAACGCTTATGTTAATCAGAAGATATCCAGCACCGAGGCTGTTGGGAGAGCCTGTGTCCTGCATTGGTCGAGCAAGATAATGGATTTTACAACCTACCTAGCAGAGTTAGAGCTGCTTCTATCTCATCACCCGTACCAAGCCCGATGGCGAACTCGAAATCAGTGCCAGGCCACTTCTGAATCCGATCGACACCCACAGCTTCGAGGGCGCGTTCGATGACCGCTTCAGTCTTGTCGTTAGTGATTCGACAAGACGTGATGTATTTGAAATTGCCGCGTGTGGCAGTTGTTGCGACTCGGTTCCAGAAGGTGAAGACTAAATCAGAACTTGAACGCAATGCCAGCAGTTCGTGCGGGGTAACCGGCCTTTTCCAAGTCTCTTTTGCAGCTTCTTCAGGGCTTTTGCAATTCATGAAGTATACGAAATTTTCCTTCAGATTAACGCCAATACCAGCATACGCATCTATAGCCTACACATAGATTTTGTTAGCCTGGCAGGGCAGGTTCGAGGCATAGCATGTAATGATCTCAACACTCTCTCGACTGCCCACCCAGTACTTCTGTTTCGTCAATTTGGGTATGCTGTGATTTTGATCACGGATGGTGGCAGGACTGTCTGCATGCATGAAGTAGAGGCAGCGGTTTGGGCTACCTTGTCCAGACGATCTGACGTTAGCCCTGAACTTGTTGTCGTTGAACATGGCTGATACTTGATGCTTGTCTGCAAAATCACAATCCGTATCGTGGTTTTGGTGCAGTTCATCCGAGTCGAGGTAGCCCCAGGTCTCCATATCGGTTCTCATTTCTCCATCCCATGGACTCTGAACGTACGGCATTAGGGGGTACATTAATTCAAGTTGGAAAAAAGTGATGAGGTAATCAACCCCGCTGAACACTATACCCGTGCCTCAACCCACCCACCTTCACACCTACCCTATCTTAGTCAGTTTTTGAGTTTTTCAATGGTTATGAATGAAGTTAAAAGCCCTCAAACCCCAGAAAAAGACGATACACTTAAATGTCCAGATACTAAGGAGGGCGCGCACTACTTCTGGAATGTAGATCACCGCCAAAAGGGTGAGACTATGGAGGATGTGGCACTTCAACATGGTATCAGCGCTCGTATAGGGGAAAGATGGAGGCATGAACGCAATCACTTTGGAGATGCACGGCGTGTAAGAAAGGACAAGGCAAGAGAGAAAAGAACTAAGCTTGGGAGGCCATTCACAGTACCTCTGAACAAGATTCAAGCCCTCATCGATGATGAAAAAGCACCCCTGAATGTACAGGCGCAGCAAATAAGTGTCAACCTCCAGCCCCGCTCTCTTCAATACAACCTATCCAACAGAGAGAATGCTCGTTTGTATGTGGCAGCTACTACCAACAATATATCCCAGAAAACAAGACCTCGAGGGTTCAGTATGGGGACTTCCATGAACACTACAGCATCTTCGACTACTGGCATGCTGTTTGGTTTACCGATAAGGCTCACTTTAATCCAACAGAGAGGCTTCAAAGAACTGGGATACTCCGGAGGTTCAAGATGCATGATTGTCCTTTTGATCTACCCAAGAAAAAGCAGAAAAAGAAGAGCAAGCTTACTCTCCACATGATGGAGCGATCAACTCGTACTACTGTCACAGCGCTGACCCGGCACTGTACCGGCACTGAGCCGGAGCACCAATCAGAGAGCGCCAGGTAACCTAAGCGAACCTGCCATCTCTAACTGGCTTGTCAGAGGTACAGACCGCTACCCGACCATATCTGGGCAGAGAGCCGCTTCCATCTGAAGCTCCTTGAGCTATGTCTTGTCGACCAGCCGGCTTGTACCCGGCTGCGGTCCGTAGTGAATATACTGATTACGTGCACCTATCTCCCGAACCCGCCCGTACCGTGACAACTACAAAGGTCCTCTTGGGTTCTACGACGACAATTCTGCAAGAAGGCATATGGTTGCTACTCAAACAGAAGGTCAAGAGAAGGATTTGGTGGCCAAAACCAGGTCAAAGATGTTGGGCTGGAACTAAATGGATGCTCAAACAAGTCCTGATTGCAGCATGGGATAGTATTACTACAGAACAAGTCAGGAGGCAGATTATTGAGATGCCTGACAGGTCTCGGCAGCTCCGTGAAAACAGGGGTGACAAGATCCATAGTAAGCTCTGGTGACGCTCACAACACCAAAAAAATACTTGTAGATAGGCCTAATATGACTTTTTAAACTTCATTGTTCACTGTTTTGTATGGGCGCTGTATGGGCGTTGATGAGTGGTGGGGTTGCTTACCTCATCACTTTTTTCCAACACAATTGCACCCCCTCATGTCGGACGAGTCCCACCCGACGTCAACACCCGTGGGGAAAGCACGAACGAATGGGGCGTTAGCGGAAGGGGATGCTTTCTACATACACGCGTGTAGCTGCCACCTCGTGTCGAGTTCTAGACGCCACCAATACATAAACCGCAATAGGATTCCCACCTCACGATGTTCTCGAGTCCACGCTCACCAGACCATCTTCGTCGATTGCAATGGCGCTTGGCGAAGTGAATTCGAATGGAGACGCTCGTCCGAGCAAACGCCGACGTGAAGGCCTCCCGGAGAAGATGAAAGCGCTGCAGTAGGAGAAGCTGTACAACATGAAGCTGATTTGAAACTGACGTTCTGGAGGTACTCAGGGCCCGAGAAGTTTGCCGTTGTTGAGATCGATGTTCCAACAATTGGTGACGATGATGTCCTGGTATACCACGCTCCAATACCTTCCTCATCACCACAACTAACATCAACAGGTCAAAATATCAGCATGTGGAGTCTGTGGTACCGATCTTCATTACCACAAGGGCGAGTTTCTGGCTAAGGTGAATACGGATGCTCAGTTAGTTAACAGACTTCAAGCTGACCGTCTCAGTGGCCGCTCATACCTGGTACCTCAATCTACACATCTCCACTCAACACGCTTGACACTCTCTAGGCCACGAAGCAGCAGGCACCATCGCCGCAATCGGCAAAAGCGTCAGCAACGTCTCCATCGGCGATCGCGTAACAGCAGACCCCCTGCAACCCTGCCTCTCCTGCTTCCACTGCACACGCCGCAAACCCCTCCTCTGCGAAAGCATAACAGCATTCGGCGGAAACGTACCCGGCGGCTTCGCAGAGTACTGCCGCTATCCTGCTCGACAAGTGCATCCCATTGGCGTCCTCCCTGATCTCGAAGCCGTCCTAATTGAGCCCGCGGCCTGTGCCACCCACGGCATCGAGCGCATGCAACTCGAAGTCGGGAGCAGAGTTTTGCTATTCGGCTGCGGTCCGACCGGCATTCTTCTTGCCCAGCTCATCCGTCTCAACGGCGCAGCACACCTGACCATCGCCTCGAAAGCCGGGCCCAAACTTGATCTCGCAAAAAGACTAGACATTGCGGATGACTACATAACCATCTCAGACTCCCATCCAGACACCGATCTATCCGCCCTGCACACCGCCAACCTCTACGGATTCGACATTGTCGTCGAAGCCACTGGCGCCCCCACCGTCCTCGAAAATGCGATCAACTTTGTGCGCAAAGGCGGCAAGCTTGTTGTGTACGGTGTGTATGACGACAAAGTGAAGATTGCGTGGAGTCCGTTCAAGATCTGGGAGAACGAGATCACTGTTATCGCGAGCTTTTGCAGCGTGCAGCACATGCCGCACGTCCTGGAGTATATCAAGGCGAAGAAACTGCGCCTCGATGGGATAGTGGACCGTACGTTCAAAATCGAGGAGTGGAAGGAGTGTATGGATGTTGTAAGACGGCAGGAGTGTGTTAAGGCGGCTATTGTGTTTGGCTAATCTTCCGGGCCATCAAAATCGCCTGAGGTCGGTGATCACGCAATCACAGAATGGTCAAGGGAAGGCTGGAAGTGATCTATCATGCACACTGCTCCGATCAAGTATGTAGCAGCCAAGCCAAAGGAGTCACGTGATTGCACTTTTTTATTCGTGATAGACTGCTAAATATACTTTTCGTAAGATGGCCCAAACTAAGAGGCCATATAGTGATGTGATATTCCCCTATCCCATGCCGCTTGCGCCTCGCTATGCCATGATATCCAAAAAAGTAAAACCGGCCTCAACTCCGTCCCCTCCCCCCCCCCCCCACCACAGACAAATTCAAGATGCCTCGAGAAAGATGCCTTGAAGAGCTCGTAACCACACTCATCCATCAGAGTCCACGACCATACTCTCCCCCACGTCACTCTCCTCCTCCACAAATCCGGCCGCATATCGCCTCCGCCTCCCGCGTCTGCCCGCGACTCTATTCGGCTCCATATCCCTCAGCGCATTCTTCCTCCTCTTCAGCGCCTCCTCGAACACCGGATCATCGACCTCATCCTCAATCAGCCCCATCCCATTTTGACTCGGGGCAGCTTCCAGCATAAACACCGCGCTATCAGTCTCGTTCGCCTCCAGCGCCCTGTTGAGAAGGTCGGTCGCCATAGGATCCTGCGGCGCGACGGCGAGCGCTTCGTGCAGCACGGTGACGGCGTCCCAGCTCCGGCCGGCTTCAAGCAGAACGAGGCCTTTGGCGGTGAAGACGCCGGGATCTTTGACGCCGTGGCGCAGGACTTCTTCGAAGACGCGCAGCGCTTCTTCGAGCGCGCCGTCGCGGCGCAGCGCGTGCGCGAGGTTGATCCGTGTGGGGATGATGGAGTCTGGGTCTGCTTCGTTCTGCTGCGAGTAGCCTAGTGCTTTCTGGAAGAGCTTGATGGCGGCGGACAGGTCGGTTGAGTGGAATGCTACGACGCCCATCTCGTTCAACAGTAACGGGTCGGTGTCGCACAGGCTGTAGGCGGTGCTGAGGTACTCGCGTGCGAGGGAGAGGTTGCTGAGCTGCAGGTTTTGCATGCCGAGGAACAGTTGGGGGAGGTGGGTTCCTTGGAACAGGCGTGCGGCGGTACTGTATGCGGAGATGGCTTGGTCGTGTTCGCCTTCGGCGGCGAAGGTGTGGGCGAATCCTATCCAGGCTGGGCCGAAGTGCGGGTCCATCATTGAGGCTTTGGAGAAGTAGCGGCGGGCTTCGGCGATGCGGTTTGTGGAGAGGTAGTAGATGCCGACAGCGAGCCAGGAGCCGGGTTCGTTGGGGTTAGTGTCGGCGAGGTCGTGGGCGAGGAGGAAGAGCGCGTTTGTCTGGGACAGTTCGTAGAGCGAGGCGAGGTGCAGGGGCAGGATCGAGAAGTTGTACTGGTCCTTGGCAAGGACGGACGATGTGAGGGCGAGCGCTTCGCGGAAGCGGCATTGTGTGAACATGAGATCGGCCTTGGAGAGGAGGATGTCTGGGTTGCTGCCCAGGCGGTAGTGGGTGCTGAGTGTGTCTGTGGCGTTGGCGAACTCTTCAGGTTTTGCATACTTGGAGAGACGGGTGGTGTAGAGGTTCTTTGTAAACTCGGCGGCTTCTTGAGAAAGGGAGGAGTTACCGGGAGCGGTGATGGAGTCGAAGTTGAGCGATTCGATGAACGTCCACTCTTCTTTGGGGGACATGAGCGAGTTGGCCATGAGGGCATCGAAGGCCTCGAAGCACTGCACGTCGATCTGGACGGCCGTCTTGTAGCACTCCTTGGCGCGGTCGAATGAGTTCTGCTTGGCATAGCAGACACCGCGCAGGTAGCACATGCCCGCCTCGGACTTGATGTTGTCGACCTCTTCGCGATCGCGCTCCTCGCTTGTGGGCAGCCGCTCGTTGCGCGCACCCGACTTGTTATGCCTTGCGCCAGCGCGGCTGTTGGTGTCGACATGGCGCAGCTTCTGCCGCGCACTCCCGCTGCCAGCCACCGAGACGAGGTGCGACGGGTTCTTCTCACCGAGAGTCTGCAGCGCCTCCTCGATCTTGCCGAGCTTGATGGAGCAGTGGGCGGCCAGGTACCGGCACTGCGGATTGCGGTCGCTGAGCTTCCCGCGGGCGAGCAGCGACTGGGTGCGGTTGTAGTTGCCGGTGCTGAAGTGGACCTGAGCCAGCCAGAATGCATCCTGGTCGTCGCCTGCAAATAGTCAAGTCAGCAGCTGTATGGGCACCCGCGTAACGTGACCTCGGGTCTCAGGATGCGACGCACCGGTGATGGCCAGCAGCTTGTCGGCGACGAAGATGGCCGTGTCGTACTGGTGCTTGTTGACGGCATCCTGCCGCCACTCGCGCAGGTACTTTTCCATGTCTCTGCTAGGCCATGCGTTGCTGTGAGGCGTGGCGGCGGTGCTTGAGGTCTAGTCAGCAGGTTGGTGTTTCGCGTTGTTGATCGCGCCAGCCTTGCGCGTGGGCATGTGGGACAACCCTGGCTGCGGGGAGTTCGGGAGTGCCAAGCCATAGCCACTCAGCAGAAGTCGTCGTCACCCAGCTTCTCCTCTCTCTCATCCTCTCTCTCATCCTCTCTCTCTCTGTCCGCCACTCTCTACCAGCCACTCTCCACCAGCCACTCTCCACCAGCCACTCTCCACCAGCCACTCTCCACCAGCCACTCTCTCACCTGTCGCCTCCACCCCGGCTTTCCCGCCCACGTGGGATCGCACGTCACGGCTCTCTCGTCCCGCACCAGCGCACCCGCAATCCGCCGCCATGTCCGAACGAAAGGTGCTCACCAAGTACTACCCCCCAGACTTCGATCCGTCGAAGATCACTCGCCAGCGCGGCCCCAAGAATGCCGGCCCCAAGCTCCAGACCGTTCGCCTCATGGCCCCCTTCTCTATGAAGTGCACGCACTGCGGAGAGTTCATCTACAAAGGGCGCAAATTCAACGCGCGCAAAGAGACGACAGACGAAAAGTACTACGCCATCGCCATCTTCAGATTCTACATCCGCTGCACACGCTGTTCCGGCGAGATCACATTCAAGACCGATCCAAAGAACATGGACTACGAGTGCGAAAGGGGCGCGAAGCGAAACTTCGAGCCCTGGAGAGAGGCCAAGCTCGCAGAGGAGACCGAGGAGGAGCGTCTCGACAGGCTGGAGAAGGAGGAGGCAGAAAGGGATGCTATGAAGGAGCTCGAGTCGAAGGTCATGGACGCCAAGACGGAGATGGCTATTGCAGATGCGCTCGATGAGATTCGTTCGAGGAACGCGCGCATAGCAAAGGCAGAGCAGGACGGCACAAGCGTGGACGTAGCACCCCCTCCAGACGACGCAGACGCTCGGCGGCAGAAGCACGACGAGGAAGATGCTGAAGCAGCGCGACGAGCCTTTGCGAACCGCGAAATGCCAGATCTTGGCGAGGAGGACATTGACGAGGACATGGTGGATGAGCCTATCGAAGTCGTAGCAACCCCGGCCTTCAGCAAGAAGCCAAAGGAGAAGAAAGACTTTGGGGCAGCCCTTGGAATCAAGAAGAAGGCACCTGCGCCGGCCGTGTCAGCACCAGTCAAGGCTGCACCCGCTCCCTCGAAGCTCTCGACGATGCTGGTAGCGGGCTATGACAGCGACGATGATTGAGACCCTCTCTCAGCAGCATTTTCCGGCGTTCTTTTCCGCATTTGGAACACAGGAAGATACCAATTCGAACTTGTTTCTACCTCGTAAATCCACCACTCGCTCCTCTCGGCGCGAAAGCACATGACGAGCAAAACACTAAAACTAGTAGCAGGACCTCATCAGTCCAGCACAAGCAATTAGCCGTCTCCAGGCACGCGCCGGACGTGGTCGTCGTATCCAGCTCGACCGCGGCCTTGGCCCTGTGCAGATCCGGAGAAACCGCCTTGCTTGTCCATGCAACTCCAGTTCTCAGTGTAACCCCGCGCCCACGATCTCCACAAAGATTTCGCCGACGCGCCGAAGCGCTGCAACTTCTCGTAATGGCATCCGGGCCGACCGTGAAGTGCACCAGCATGTACCGAGCTCGGTGTCCGGGTTAACGTCTCTGCCTCGTTATGGACGTCGTTCATGAAGATTCGGACGTAGGATAAAACGCATGGAATGTTCCACCGAAGATCTTCAAGTCTCATCCGCACCCTCCAAAGATTCCAACCGCTGAACATGCGATTCCTCTCTTGCCTTGCGCTGCTACCAGGCGCACTTGCCGCACCTGCCCTCGACTTCTCTTCCCACATCACTCCACGCGACAACGCCAACTCCTCCCTCACCGGCTACCTAGGCGTCTTCTTCCTCGGCGATGCGCCAAACGTCTACTTCTACCAGTCAAAGGGCAATAATGCCGCTTCCATGAACCCCCTCAACGGCGGTCAACCAATCATCGTCCCCACCCTAGGAACCAAGGGCGTCCGGGATCCCTCGATCATCGCCAGCAAAAACGATGGGAAATACTACATCATCGGCACGGACCTTGACATCGGCAAAACGACATGGGACATCGCGCAACGCAACGGCAGCCGCTCGATCTTCATCTGGGAGTCCACAGACCTGACGACCTGGACCAGCGAACGTCTAATCGAGGTTGAAGATGCCAGTGCGGGAATGGTATGGGCGCCCAGCGCCATCTTCGACGAAAAAAAGGCTCAGTATCTCGTGCACTGGGCCTCCAAGTTCTACGGCGCAGACGACCCGGGCCACACTGGTGCGCCGAGCGCGATCAAACTGCGGTACGCGTATACGAGTGATTTCAAGACGTTTGGAGAGCCGGGAGATTATATCGACTACTCGCCAACCAACGTCATCGATCTCGAGTTCCTCTCCCTCGGCAATAACGCGTATGCGCGCTTCGTCAAGGACGAGACCGCGAAGACGGTTTTCACTGAGGTTTCCACCACCGGCGTGTTTGGAACCTGGACAAGGCCTCAGGGTGCTGGCAGCATCATTGAGTCTGGTGTCGAGGGCCCGGCGGTGTACTGGGATAATGAGGTTGAGGGGAAGGCGCATCTGCTACTCGATTTCTACGGCGCGGACGGGTATAGGCCGTATGAGAGCACGAATGTTGAGGGTGGTGTGTGGACAGCATCGGACCGCTCAGCCTGGCCCGCAAACTTGCGCCACGGGAGTGTACTGCCGATTACTGCGACCCAGGTCGATGCGTTGAATGCTAGGTGGGCTTGAGCACAATCCCTTCGCTATCGAACTAGAACCAGAAACCTATATTTTCAGCGAACTAAAAAGCTGTATATGACCGCCCCTTGCGGACTACGGTTTCTCATGACTAAACAAACACCCCGCATTTCCATCTAGTTCACCCCCCCCCCCCCGTCCTCTACGTCGCTCCACTCCCATCACTGAACTGCCAACTTCTCACCGCGTTCAGTCTCTCCATATCCTTCTCCCTCTGCTCACCCTTTTCGACTTTGCTCGGGCTATGCAGACGTTTCAGAATCGCCAAACGCTAATTAAGCTTATCTCACGAATCGTCCGCCCTATAGAGCTTCTAGTGCCTATATAACCTCTGCAAGTAGCTTAGTAGTAAGTTGAAATGGGTGCAAGAGGTCTGACCCCTCGGGCCGAGCCCCTAAAGTATCTTCAACCTCAACGTACATGGAATGGATCAATCAACCACAACACCTACAATTAGCCTCGCTTGTTGCACCTTGGTTCCCATTGTATCACCAGGGAGCTTCTCTTATCAGCGATTCGTTTCAACTCTATATAGTTAAAGCTAAATATACTGGAGGTGGTATCACAATCAGCCGAGTTAGGCAGTCCTCCCAGATACTCCGATCCTTGCTCCAAACTCTCTACTCTCCCCTCCACCGGAAGATCGTAAAGGTGTGCATGTATAGCAGCAGGCGAGAGCGTGATGCGTTGGGGGTCCGGGATCGGTGGGTACGTACACGATACCGAGATCGCGCGGATCTGCGTATCCAATGGCTGGACGCCCTATGAATTTATAGGGATCACTGACTCCGCCGCGTATGCGCGGTGGCGAGAGGGACTTGTTGCAAGACGAGGATGCCACAGTGGTCGTTGCTGTGACGCTATTGTCGTCGCTGCTCAGTCCAACGTACGCGGGTGCACTGCACTTCTTGCTCAATCTCTCTGCATCATCTTCATCGGCAGCACCACCGCGTATATGCGGTGGTGCACTGCCTGATCTGTGGGAAGCGAGGTCATCCATTACATCTCTCTCGTCCTCGTTTCCTTCGTCTTCGCCATCTCCAAATTGCGATACACCATCGTAGTTCATCGGGTACTGAGCAGTGAAGGAGTATCGCTCTTCGTCGTCCACATCAAAATTCCGGCATACTCGTGCAGCATTTCTCGCGTTCTGCATGAGTGTGCGAGTCGCCACTGCTGAGAATTGCAGGCTCGTACTTGCTATTGCGAGCCGTTGCAGATCCCGGTGCACATTTGCACGTGCTGCTCGTGCGGCGCTTCTTGCGTTCTGCCGCAACCTACGAGCCTCTGTCAGATCCGCATGTCTTCTGTTAAGCGCAAGCTGAAGTTCGGCCAGAGAGTTACCGATGCTCTCACACTGTTCCAAGGTTTCGGCTTGCAGGACATCTTCTTCCAGCGCTAGAAAGTTCGGTCGCTGACGGAGCTCGCAATGATGTGCGGACTGGCGGACTGGGGCATCTTCAGCCCCGAAGAGTCTACGTCGTGGTTGGTGTCTGTAAGATACTGGTCTCAACTCTTCTTCATTCACCACAGCTTCATCCGCTGACTCGAAATGACGTTGATACACAAACTCTCTGTCCAGATCCATCGGGTATGCAGCGCATCGTACTCGCCCAGCAGCCCGTCGCTCGTTCCAACGTGTGGTGTCAGCATCCAATCCCTCACGATGGCGCTGCCAAAAAGCTCGTTCGGCTTCAGCAGCTCGTTCTCTCGGTGAATGTTCCTGCTGTTGAGCTGCCAGTAATTGCTGTCTGTCAAGCCACTGCGCCTCCTCGACGCTCGTCTCTTCCTCTTCTTCAGAAGCACGGTCCAATCCGTAGCCTCCTCGCATGTCAGGTGCATGTCCTTGTTCTTGTTGCCTTCCCTGTTCAGCAAGGTGTGGGTATTGCCTCACAAACTCATCAGCTTGGAATTGTGCATACTTATCATATACCGTATCCAGATCCCGATCAATCTCAGCCTGTCGGTCAGCCTCCATGCTGTCGCCGCTATGTGCGCGTCTCGATTGGTCCGTTTCGTTTGCATGATGTGCAGGCTGCGGCCATTGCACAGGCGTGTTGTGAAGACGTGCGATTTCTTCCTCGGTGGGAGAGTTAGGATGGTTGTGCTGTATGCCTACAGATGAAGGCTCATCACCTTCGTTACGTTGGCCTGCATTGCCGCTGCTAGTGGAATTCGAAGGTGTGTTGCTCGTATTTAGCCCAGCGCTCTCCAGCGCCTCCCTTCCCTCCACATCCCTCTCATTCCGTCTAGCATGTACGTTCTCCAGTGCCCTCCCCGTCTGCATAATCTGTGCTCTTCGGAATCGCGAAAGAGTGATGTTGGTCCTGTTCTCAGGCGGAATGCCATCCTCATGCGATACCACGACACTGACCGTCCGAGAAGTAACAGGATCAGCATGGATCAGAGCAATGTCATCTTCATCATGAGCGGCCGTGATACTGGCTGTTCGATAAGGTATAGGGCCGGTATGGTTGTCCATAGGAGTCGACTCCACACCAGTATCATGCCTAACCACAATCTCACCATTCACCGCTATCTGCTCGTAGTGAGGGTGAGGTTTGGTCGGACCTGGATCATCGTCGTCATTGTGGTGGAAGTGTTCGAAGTGACCATCTGGTTTCTCGGAGTAGCGGATCGAGCAAGCGTGGATATGTCGAACGATTTGACATCCACTTCCTTTTTCACCGGTAAGGACATCGTGCAGTGTTGTGCCACTCAGGCTCTTCACGTGTGGAGGGGGCTGCGCGGAGTTGAATTTTGGGGAAGATGTTTCGCCGTCGTCGGAAGAAGACGATGGCTGCGGTGATATACCGTACCTGCGTGGACCTGTGGCTTCGCCGATTTCGCGGCTCTGCTGGGCGGGACTGTTCCTGATAACTCTCGTGCCCAGACTCTTTTCAGTCTCGGCCATTTGCACATGCCCTTGCTCAGGTTCTAGTTGTTGTTCGGACTGCCTAAGGCGGGCGTAGCGTTGTTCTTGTTCCCGCGTTGCAGCGTGCCAATCGCAATCTTCACTCCTGCTCTCCTCTGTCTGCTCAATATCTTGACAGCCACTCGTGCTCATCTGCTGACCCATCATACTAGTATCAAACGGATCGAACCCACCCTGATTTTGATCACCATACTGCGCATGTACGATTGGGTTGTATACTGGCACCACACGTGGCCGTCTATACAGCGCTCGGTCGCCCCCCAAGCCCATTGGAATCCACTCAGGTGGATACCCAAAATCTGGATACCCCGAGATATGCCTTATCCGCCTCTCTTCTGTCTCATCCAGAGCATCAGCCATGCGGTCAACACGCTTATGGAGTTGACCGACGCGCTGTTGATGGCAAACTAGTAAGCGATATACAAGGTACGCGCCACTTGCGAAAAAGGCAGCTACTAGGATGGCGGCAACGAGTCCAAGAGTGAGTGTTGAAATGATGGTCAGGAAGTTGTTTAGATCAGAGCTGTGTATTGTCATCGTGTTATTCATAAGAGGTGAATGTGAGTAATGCAGAAGCTGATATACCACCTGTCTCAAGACTTCGTTTGATCTTGGTCAGTCCAGACAGCATGGCTGCCACGCAGCACGATTGTCATCGGCAGCGAACGAAACGCTGAAGTCAACGACCGATTTGGATACTCATTAAGCATGCAAAAAGGAAAGGAGCAAGCTAGGTATCAATGCATTCGATTGATCATACGTACCAATGCCATGTTCGTGACGATCGTAGTGCCACCCAACTGCATCACAATGATGTGCAGCAAGCCCAAACGGCGATAGCGTGTTCAACCCAATACGAAACACAACCCCATCCCTAAATCTCACCCATGACGGTGTCGAAATTCACCATACTTCCGTCAGTCACTGCCGACCACTCCTCACTGTCCTCAAGAAAAATGCTCTCGAAGACTCTGCGCTCCCCATCGCTCACCGGGCTGATGAGGCCGGCGTCCTTGAATAACTTGCGGTCTGCAAACTCTTGATAGTTGCGTAGGATCTGCTGCTGCTGAAGAGCGTCATAACCCAAATCGACAGCGCTCTTTGGCGCTGAGCTTTCTGAGCCAGCCAGTGGGGTATTGGGCGACGATGTTCCACTATCATGCTGTTCCAGCTGGCGGTACCAGGTGCGTGGTGATTCGTTGGGAGAACAGGTGTGGTATAGAGCATCACCGAATTGAGCTGCGTTTGAACGATCATTGTCAGCGCGAGTGTCGTCTGCCTCCCACTAGGACGCCTCATCCAACAAACGAGCCCGCTTCTCTTCATCATTCTCAGCCTCGTCGTCCAACTCGCGGCGGATGCGCTTGGTATCAAGGGCTGCATCAACGACTTCAGGTTTCGACACCTTTCGCTTCTGTGGGGATGGAGAGTCAGATCTGTTTCCAGATGTCTTCCGAACGACGGTCCCACGTTCAGAACCCCAGAGCTCTGTGCAAAATGGGTCTCTGAAGGCGTAAACTGGCTGGATCCAAAAATTGTGTTTGGAGAAGTCAGCCTGATTGAGGGGCTTGTTCTCAATGTGTGTAAATGAGAGCTTGCCGTTATCCTCCGCAGGCTTGACATCAAGTTTAATGATCCAACGTGACTGTCGTTCGAACTTCACATCGTCCGGAAAAGGGGTTATGATCGTGGCCTTCAACACAGTCTCGACGGTGCGCGGCTTCCCCTAGCGCTCTGCATCAGCCAAACCCAATGATCAGAAGCCAAGAGCTTCATCAAGAGGACTGAGGGTACTGAAGTGACAAGTCAACTTACATCGGCGTAGTTTGGCACAATAGCTTCGAAGCGTTGCTTCATCGAGTTCCAGCGAAAGCTCAAAGACGATCGCGGAAGTGTGTAGTGGACTTGGTCAATATACTCGTCGTAACCTGGTGAGCTTACGGGACTGTGAGCCTCTTTCGATATGAATGGCGTGATGCGATACGGTTCGCCTGTGAAACGGCTGCTGGTAAGGTGCAGGAACCGAACGTTAGGGGGCTGCCATGCAACATTGCCGGTGGCCGTCAGGATAGTGTCAGCATACTGGAAGTCGAAGTTGACCTCGAGACATGAACCGCTGGGACTGTCGAGAAAGCAGTCTTGTACACGAAGGAAGTTGTGTAGGAACAGTGACAGTCCGCCGGAGAATTGCGACCAGGTGGAAGCTACTGAAGCCGCTTCATTGGGAAATTGATCATGAAACAAGCCCATCATGCTGTCGATTAGGTCAACAAAGCTGACATCAATTACGCGCTGACTGTTGCTGCGGAGATGGTCAAGTATGCGAGCTACGAGATAGACTTCGTCAACCGCTTCTGTGTGGTTTTAGCCAAATTTTAACGTGACATCAAGCACAACTCGTCTCTCGATAGAATGTGGAAATATAAGTGGGTTGCTTATGGACCAACTGACCTTCACTTTGTAGCAGACCCTGGACTACGTCCTCGCACAAGCTTGCCCGAACCTCAGCCTGGAGGCACTCATGGAAGAAGTGGTACCACATTGTGAGCTCCGTTGCCTGAGAATGCGATAGGCCCCTCCAACACTCGGTGAGATCCAGATGGTTGGCAGTGACTAGACGTGAATTGGTTAGACTGCACTGTAGCTAACATAAGTCGGTGAAGCCAGCCAGCTTACCCTCATCATGGAAAGGTGAGCGTCGTATCCTTGGCGTCAGAATGTCTGAGACGGTGGCAGCACGCTCGTAAGGCAGCCCATGGAGGTTGACAGCTAAAGATTGGTGCGCAATCAACGTTCGAACACGTTGCTCTTCCAGAGCCTGCGGTGAGGGCCGAACGGGCAATGGATGCGCATGGCTGGAAGTGTCGAAGCCGATGTTGAGGATGGGCTGGATGTAGCAGTAAGCAAACAATCTCGAAATGTGCTGTGTGAAACTAACAGCTTGCATGGCTAGGCTGGCGGAATGCGGCACGGTAAATGATGCTAGCGAACAATACGGCGCTGACTGGTAGTGCTGAAGATGCGAGATGACGGACGTACGAGGGGCTGCCTCCGCTCTGCAGTTGGAGGAGCTCCTGCCGCGTAATTGTGGGAAGTGACAAAGGTAAGACTTGGAGGTAGTTGCGACACTGACGGTGGACGTACGGTGAGGCTTGTATTTCGCCCATCTGCACTGAGAGAAGTAGGTGCCCCTCTCGCCAACTCGTAAGAAAGAACACAGGCAACCCTGGAGGTAGTCGCGCTTTCTAGATAGCGTCCATCGAGGCACGTGTCGTGAGCCGCTCATTCTTGTTACCCAGTTTCGAGATTTGAAGGAAGGCATCCACGCCATAGCCTTCAAGACTGTGAATCTCCAGACTCCCAGCCCAGTACTCTGGATATGTTGATCAGTACTCAGGTCGCACTCGATGCACCCTGCTTTGCTTACCAGCATATAGCCTGGACATTGGAAGGCCAATGCCAAGGCGAAGGTCGGGCGCCCTCGAGGTCAAAGACGCCAACGATCCGCGGTGAACTTCACTATCACCTGATCTTGTGCTGTGCTTCTGTTGCAACTCAGAAGCCGACTTGTCGCCCACCTGCAGTTCTTGTAGTGTGGCTAGCAACTTTGGTACCCTAGCCAAGTTTTGTAACCTCTTTTCACGACGTGGTCCTTTGCTGAAACTCCACAAAAAAGGCAGCAGGTCATTGGGAATGCCGCCGCCTTGGTCAGAGATCCTGATGATGACGTGCTGTGAGGTTTCGCAGATCAGAACCTCGATTGGCGGCGGCTTTGCGTCCTTAGATTTGCGCTGTTCGATGACTGCTTGTATTGAGTTGCGCAACAGTTCGCCGATAATGTATTCGAGGTGGCTCAGAATGTATGGGAAGGTCGCGTCCAGGTGACCATAGATCTTGATCTCAGGAATCTCAACGTGCGCACCGTAAGCACGCTTTATCAACTCTTGCGTAGTCTTGCCACACGACTCAACTATCTCTTTCGCGTTGCATCGCAGGAAGATTTCTCCAACTGCCTCCTGATCGTGCGGCACCTGCGCATGCGGAAAGTGCCATGGTGAGTTGAATGTTTCGGTAAGGGCAAGATGCTGCTCTGCAATGACTCGCCGAGATATACGCTATACACGTCAGTGTTTTTGTGCTAGAGCTGCAGGCTTTCTCGTACCGCTCGCAACATAGTAGTCATGAATTTGTCTGTTTCATCAGGCTTCATGAGATTGCGCACCTCCAGCACGCCAATGGCCAGTCGCGGTATGACAGTAGCATGCTCCTTCAATGTCTCCTCCAGCACTTTGCAGTACCGGTCATTGTCTTCGAGAGATCGAATTTCGGGGACGCGACGAAATCGCTCGAAAGCTTGCAAGTATGACTCGTAGACGTGGGCGAGGTGAGGGTTCGCGACGACAACGTATGGCAGAATCTGAATATCGCGCAGGCGGTGGGCAAGTCTGGCATACTCAGTCAAGGTCACTGTACGAAGTATGGGCCGTTTGATACCTTGTTGGTAGCTCAAGTCGACAGTAGTTGGCCGAGTCCATCAAACGAGACTCGGTGAGAGTCCTGCCAAAGAAGGTCAGCTGGCGCAAGCTTATAGGCCGCGCTTCACGCTGCACCCATCTACGACGCGTCAGTCTATCAATATCGCACTTCACAGGCCTCGTGGTCGTACTCATCGAGGGCTGAAGAGGGCTTCCATTTGGGGGCTACAGCTGCGGCATGTGCAGATCTCCTCTGTGCGAGGAACCCTAAAGGTAAACATGGAGCTTTAAGGAAGGGTCCACAACGCTGTGCACACGCATCCAGGCTGCTTCTGGATACCTGCATTGCTATGTATGGAAGCTTCGATGTTTGAGTGTGGGGAACGCAGAGCTGTGAAAGCTTCGCGAATCAGCGCACCATGACGCAACACCAAACACTCCAATTCAAGGGTCCAATCACCACACCGTAGATTTCGCTCAGGCAGAGACTGCTACAAGAGACAGCAGGCGGCCTGTTTGTGGCCGCAGTCACTTTCGTTATTTGTGGTACACGACAATCAATCGTGTCATGTCTACCGGCGCGCTTCACAGAGATGACGTCTGCGGGCCGCGGCCCAGTGCATGAAGCCCCATCTAAAAGCGCCAAGATCAAGCTGTTCACTGCAGGACACCCATGTAGGCTGCCGAGCACCTCGAGCTTTCCTCCACGCCTGCAGCCCTTGTGCGCCCGTATAATCCAGACTCCCTCCCTTCGTCGTGTTCTGAGTGCACGGTGCGGCAAAGCGTATAGTTCGTTCGTCATTGTCACCGCCACCTTTTAGCGAGGTACGCATCCTTACCATTGAGCTGCCTGTTGCGACCGCCTTCACGTACATCGTACTCTTTCGTTAATAAGGCGACTGGCGCGCAGCTTTCTACCCGAGACTTCCCTGCGTTGAGCGCACAACGCTGCTGCCCTCCCTACTGAGCCACCGCGACCTCGCTCGCTGCTTCCCTTCTGCCTGCCCCGCCAGCACCCGCTGCTGCCGAACTCACCATGGATCAGGTAAGCTTTGCGCTTGCGCACATGTTACCTGTTGCTGCAGCTTTCCTCGGCACATGTATGCAGCATGGCGTACGACCAGCCTCTAACACCCCCGCAGACCGGCAGCGACATGCTCGTCGACCACGAGTACGACGAGAAGCAGGGCGAAGTCGCCATCATCACGCCCACCGACTCGGACGACCAGATGGATGAGGTCGACGCGGACCCAGAGCCCCGCGCAGACGAGTACGATGCCTTCATGAAGAAGCATCTGCCAGAGCTGCCCGACCAGGAGGCAGAGGCAGAGACACACCACACATGGGAGATCAAAGACTGGCGAACACTGATGAGGAAAGAGCATGGCCCTATCTTCGAGTGTGGTGGACAGCCATGGCGCATACTATTCTTCCCCTACGGCAATAACGTCGACTTTGCCTCTTTTTACCTCGAGCAGGCATACGAGGAGAACAAGATGCCGGAAGATTGGTATGCCTGCGTGCAGTTCATGCTCGTCCTCTGGAATCCGAACGACCCCAGCATGTACATTACGCACACAGCACACCACCGCTTCACCGCTGACGAGGGAGACTGGGGCTTCACACGCTTTGCGGAGCTTAGAAAACTCTTTGCTAACAGCTGGGACGACCGAGGGCGCCCAATGGTCGAAGGTAATGCCGCCAACGTGACAGCCTATATACGAGTGCTCAAGGACCCCACTGGCGTGCTATGGCACAACTTCCTAAACTACGACTCCAAAAAGGAGACTGGCATGGTCGGTCTGAAGAACCAGGGTGCAACCTGCTACCTCAACTCGCTGCTCCAGTCACTGTACTTCACCAATGCGTTCCGCCAGGCTGTCTACCAGATACCTACCGACGAAGACGACAAGGGCAGTTCTTACGCGCTACAGCGCCTCTTTTATCTGCTTCAGAACACCAACAACGCTGTTAGCACCACGGGTTTGACACATTCTTTCGGTTGGGACTCGAAACAAATTTTCGAGCAGCAGGATGTGCAAGAGCTGTCCCGCGTGCTTATGGACAACCTCGATGCCAAGATGAAGGGTTCGGTGGCTGAAGGCGCCCTCGAAAGGATGTTTGTGGGCAAGATGAAGACTTACATCTCTTGCATCAACGTGGACTACGAATCATCCCGGATAGAGGACTACTGGGATATCCAGCTCAATGTTAGCGGGAACAAGAATCTGGACGACAGCTTCAAGGACTACGTGCAGGTCGAGACCATGGACGGCGAGAACAAGTACTTCGCGGAAGGGTTTGGTTTACAAGATGCCAGGAAGGGAGTCATCTTCGAGAGTTTCCCACCGGTCCTACACCTTCAGCTCAAGCGCTTCGAGTACGATTTCCAACGCGATGCCATGATGAAAGTGAACGACCGTTACGAGTTCCCTGAGGTTTGGGACGCTTCACCTTATCTCTCCCCGGGCGCCGATCGATCAGAACCGTACGTTTATCGTCTGCACAGCGTCTTGGTGCACAGTGGAGATCTCAACGCCGGACACTACTATGCTTTCATCAAACCCACCAAGGACGGACATTACTACAAGTTTGACGACGACCGGGTGACGCGTGCGACGAAGCGCGAAGCCTTGGAGGAAAACTTTGGAGGTGATTATGCGCAGGCGGCGAACGGAAATGCCGGCCAGCGTAACCCCTACACAAGGACCTGGTCTTCCAAGCGATCCATGAGTGCTTACATGTTGGTTTACATCCGTGAGAGCAGGATTGACAGCATTCTTCCAGATGCCACGAGCGTGGCCCCACCGAAGCATCTGGCTGAACGTATTGCTGAAGAGCACGCCGCATTCGAGAAGAAGAAGAAAGAGCGAGAGGAGGCACATCTCTACATGGACATTGCCGTTGCGTCAGAGGAAAACTTCAAGGCCTATCAAGGATTCGACATTGTGCCTTGGAAAGGTGACTCCGAGACAGCTGCCCATCCAAAGGTACACCGCGTTCGTCGCTCAATGACAATGGCCCAGTTCAACACGTTAGTCGGCCAGGATCTCGGCATTGACGGCGACATGTTGCGACCATGGTCTATGGTGAATCGCCAAAACGGTACTATTCGTCCGGACACACCCCTGGAGTTCCCCGATATGACTGTGGAAGAAGCATCCGCTAAGCACGGGACGAAACAGTCGGTCTTCAGATTGTGGATGGAGAAGGCCGCACAGCGTGACGCAGACGGTGCACCGATGTTCGGTGAAAAGCTTCTGGAATTGAAGGGTGTCAGCGACAAGCCTATCATGCTATTCCTCAAGCACTTCGACGCCAACACACAGAGCTTGTTCGGCATCACTACCTTCTACGCTGGGTATCAGGATAGGGTCTCTGACCTCTGCCCAACCATCTCCAACAATCTGAACTGGCCAAGTGGAACACAGATGAAGCTGTCTGAAGAGATCAAAATGAGCATGATCGAAGTGATGAAGCCCAAAACGACCCTCGCACAATCAGAACTACAGGATGGCGATATCATCACCGTTCAACGATCACTGACCGAGAAAGAGATCGAGCAGATCCGGTCGACAGGAGGGTACGTTGATGCCAAGGAGTTCTACGAGTTCCTCCTGAACAGGATCAACATCGAGTTTGTTCCAAGATTTCAGCCAGAGGGCGTTGAACTGTCGTCCTTCTCGTTGACTCTGAGCAAGAAGATGTCATACGATCAAATGGCTGCAAAGGTCGCTGAATACCTCCAATGTGAACCAACATATCTGCGTTTCACGACGGTCAGCACTGCTGGCAAGCCCAAGACGGCCGTCAAGTACAACGCTAACCACACATTGAACAACATCATGTTCCCTGGACCATACAGCTATGCCCAGGCTTCAGGCCAACGACCCGATGCCTTGTTCTACGAAAAGCTTGATATGAGTCTTAAGGAGCTTGAGCAAAGAAAGCCTGTCAAGATTACTTGGTTGCCAGAAGGTTTGCAGAAAGAAGAGGAGGTCGCACTCATGATCCCTAAGAGTGCTCAAGTGGCTGATCTTCTGGACGAACTGCAACGTAAGGTCAACATCAGTGACGAGGTCATGAACAAGGTCCAGATCTGGGAAGTATCGATGCATAGGTTTTCCAAGCAACTGGCGGCGGAGCTCCAGATCACGGCTCTCGCGGAGCACTCGCAGATCTACGCAATGCCTGTTCCAGAGATTGATGCGCCTCAAAGGGTCTCCGTATACCACTTCGACAAGGACCACACCAAAGCTCACGGCATTCCGTTCCAGTTTGCGCTTAAGGAGGGCGAGCCGTTCAGCGAGACTAAGCAGCGCCTATCAGATTTGACGAAGATTAAGGGAAAGCAGCTCGATAAGATCAAGTTTGCAAAGGTCCCGAGGGCGCAGTACTCGAAGGCCACATACATCGAGGATGATGGTAAGTTGTTTAGCCAGGCTCCTTTCAAACATGTTTACTAACAGATTGCTAGATGAAATTTTATGGGACACGATAACCGACGACCAGTCCCTTGGTCTGGACCACCCGAACAAGAGTAGAAGCTTCTGGGGCAAGTCGGACTCCATCTTCATTCGATGAGTCACAAGAGACGTATGGATGTAGGATACACCAGCCATGATTTTCTATGCATGGTCAAAGAGGCATCACTATTGCGGGGCGTTGTCATTTCCTCAGCAAGCGACGGCACGACTCTTAGCGCGATTGTACTCAACACATTGATGGCGCACTGGAAGCCTTGAGGTGTCCACCGTAGCAGTATAAGCAGTTGCGTATGAAGCGGTTGTCAAGAGCGAGGTAGAGGTATTCAAGATAGCTCTTGGATGCGTATGATCACTAGGATGTAGACTAGCTTGGGACAGCATATGAAATGCTCTCAAATGTCCAACATTCGCGGCGTATCGTGTCTGTTTTGCTCCCTAACCTATCAACTTGCTGAAACACTTTGTGGATGTAGCAACCGAGTAGCGTGCCAAATTTCCTCTTACAAATCCCCAAGACAGCGTTACATTTTTGTCGCAGCTACCCATGGAGACAAGGTATGAACAGGGTCCTGCAGAACCGTGGTACTGTTCTGGCCCCTTACTCGAGAGGAGAGCCAGTTGATACCGTGTGTAAACACTGCCTGATTCCTTTTTCACGACCGACCTCGCGTGTTCTCACTTGTCCAGTAACAAAGAGCTGTGGGAAAGGCGTCAACAAGCGTACTGTACAATACGAGAGCTTTAGTTAACCATTATTGTAATTTTGACGAGCAAAACAGGTCTGTTTTTCCCTTGTGCATTCAGTCGTGACTTTTTGTATTCACAGACGGAACGAATGCATGCTCTGTGAACCAATCAACCTACTCAAGGAGTTTCACGGACAGTGGAAGAGAGTTGGGAGTGTGACGATTTCCTTGGTGGTCTTCTTATGAGAAGACTACATTCGAGGTGGAAGTACCCATACATATAGCCCGTATCGATGATAGCCACTACTAGTCAGATAGAAACAATATGCAACGACTTCTTATGGTTACCATCTTCGCTACCACCTCAAGAGTATGAGTTGTGGTCGTTGCGAAGCACAGCAACCCTGTCGAGCATTGGCCGCAGACGAACTTGATTGGTCAGGGCCTCCCCGCGCCTTCCCTTCCCTGCAACGGCGCGATCACCCCCGAAACTCCGACTGTCGTTGTCGACAGCTGTTACTAACCAAATACAACAACAGCGACAACAACCCCAACGAAGCCGTTTGACGCCTACGGCCACGATGCGGTCCTTCGCCACGATTGCCAGCCTTCTGTTGGCGTATTGCACCGCCGTATACGCAACCGCCCTTACCTACCGCCTCGATGCACACGAGAAGGCCTGCTTCTTCGCAAACGTAGAGCACAAGGGAACCAAAGTCGCATTCTATTTCGCCGTACAGTCTGGTGGCTCATTCGACATTGACTACTCGGTGGTTGGCCCCGGATCGAATGGCGGACAAGAGAAAGTCATCCTCGACGGAACCAAGGAACGACAGGGCGACTTCGTCTTCACAGCCAACGAGGTTGGCGAGTACCGTTTTTGCTTCAACAATGAGATGAGCACCTTCGCCGAGAAGCTAGTTGACTTCGAGATTGCTGTACGTGCTCCCAGGCGCTGTGCATCTGCAGTCTGAAAAACCTACGCCCGATACAGTGGTACTGACACCCCCAGATCGAGAATGAGGCTCCGCGAGCCGCCATTCCCTCAAAACAGGGTTCCTCGCCAGAACAAACCACCGTCCTCGAAGAATCCATCCTCAAGCTTTCCGCCCAACTCTCCACAATCTCGCGCAACCAAAAGTACTTCCGTACCCGCGAGAACCGCAACTTCAGCACCGTCAAGAGCACCGAGAAGCGCATCTTCAACTTCAGCCTCATGGAGGGTGGATTGATGGTCGTTATGGCGGGTCTGCAGGTCGCAGTCGTGCGGTTCTTCTTCCAGGGCGCAAGGAAAGGTATTTTATAAATCCTACCTTGGTGCAGTACAGGGGATGGGCGGCCACTGATTCGATTCTGGCAGGCTATGTCTAAGCGATCTGCGATTGACGCGCCAATATCAAGAAGAGAGGCATCTTACGACGCCGTTATGGGAGTGCAAGCACAGCCACGGTCGTCGATGGTCACAACAATCGTGACTCTGATATTAGGATGTTTGGAAGGCGTTGCGGGGCTCAAGTTTCAGCCAAAAGAGTTGTACCACTAGGATGCATTACAGGGATGTCACGGCCTAGGCATAGGGTGACAAATGAATATTTTCTCGACCCAAGTGCTTCGCTCAGGGTTCGATTCTCTCGATTCTCCCCTCTTTAATATTTTGCACTCGTTCAATGGATCACTTCTGGGATAGAAAGAGCCCATGTTATGCCGCGCTCATGTCCGTAGTATGGACATGCTCGTGGATGGTCGGATCGTACCTGCCTTGAACGTCCTACAGCTCCTCCTGTGGCCTGGACTGTAAGTCTCAACCATGGTACTGTTATCGCGTACCCAAAATAGTCCTGTCAATAATACATCACGACCCTACAACCGTGGTAGAGACTACATGCACGTCACATCCAGTCTGGTCTTTCCCCATCGTTACATCGAAACGCTCGGACAGCCGCTCTGGAGTATCCTTGGAGGCCTTGGCCAGTTAAACACTACACTTCCCCTCAACAGCTCCAGTATCGTTTCTCTCACAGTCTACAAAATTCACAGGAAGCGTAGTATATAAGGTAGGCGTGCCCTGGCCCTAGAGCCCCGACTTCGTCCAGTACCTTCACATTTAGCTCTACAGCACCTTCCAGCTTTACGCTACTACAGTCTCACCCTACTGAATACCTCTGACGCTGCATAGCCTCCACCACACACCACACCACACAAACGAGCTTGTGTAGCACTTATCATATCGACCACCAGCATCGTAAGTACCTTCTTTGTAATTTTGTTGCATTATTCCTGTGGGTGAACACCCCGAGTCCCTCCTGCCTCACCATATGCTAACTTCCTCCAGCCTACCACACCAACCACCACGATCGTAAATATAGCTTTTACGATACCCACCACTCAGAGCACTGTGACTTCCTCCAGCCTTGATCCCGACATATTATCGTAAGTTTCCCCTCTTCAATTTTCTTTCCCGATTTTCCAAGTTTTCGGTTGTTCAACTCCTTCCTGGCTCCAGTTCAACCAAGGTTGAGTGTTGCGGTATCAGCCGGCCCTTACGAAACCCCATTACCCTTACTTAGTTTGTTCTGTACTAGCACGTTCCAGGGACAGTATATATCGTCATGTTGTAGCTAGGTAGCAACTCAGCGCAGTATTATATCGACCCGATAGTCCTACGTTATCGTTTACCGTAGCTATCAGTATACTACAGCGGCCCATGCCGCCACATTGGTCAACATCGTCGGTTCTATTCTTGTAGTCTTCTGAGGTTGGGTATTGCGAGTCCTTCTCGGCTCCACTGTGCTCGATCAAGGCAAGCCAGTATTCATGATTGCGGTTTTCACAATCCTTGTCGTTCAGGATAATCGAGGTCCTCCAGCCCCTGGTCACCTCAACCACGGTTCTCCTGGGTCGTAACCATAGATATCTACAATTATCGCTAATCGGAGTACTCTGAGGTACTACAGGATCTGGTTTGAACATTCCCGGACATTTTCGATGTCCAAGAATTGGTGATAGCGATTTCCGAGCTCAGAGTACCTGACAGTGCGCTGAATAACCTTCAGTCAAACAAATGAACGTCATTCATGCCACTCATAAACTTCTCGCAAGCAACGACCATGCGTGATGTGCCAATCTCGCAACTTGGCCATGCCTTTGAGTTCAGTGGACACCTCTACACTCAGTCCCCCAGCGTCAAAAAATCCTAGAGTTCAATGATACGCATATGCTGAAGACCTCCTGGCTTTCATCTAAACCAACAAACCCGTAATTAGAATATAGACATCTCAGTGCTCATAGCATTAGTAAACACAGTGTTCGTCAATGCGATCAGCAGACTCAGAGTGCTGAAGACCTTCACGACAACGCACAGAGCCATAGATCTGGAGCCGATGAATTATCGAATCGCGCGCCGGTGAGGTGATTCAGAGGACTGAAGATCTCCAGAATGTGACTTCGTACTTCGGAACCGAGACATTAGGAAATGCGATTCTCGAATCGGATGATGTGTCTTGGAGTGCCGAAGACCTCCAGGGTCAGACTTGCGTTGTGAGATTGGGAATCCAGCAGGGGACGGATTTTCGCGTCCGATGTAGCTGCTGAGGGTGCTGACGACCTCCAGGATTAAATCTTGATGGTTGGAGTTGCGACGGACGGAGTCCAGACTGCTGAATGCCTCTAGGCTTTGCCCTTTCACACCCACCATGCAGCGGCTCCAGTAATAGCTCAACGGGCAACAGCTCAGAGCCCTCGACCTCGCCTCCTTACCCCTCCTCACCCCATTCGGGCTTGCGGGGCTTCGACACACTATTCGAATACGAATTCGAGGACTTCGAGCGATATGAAGGTGGCCGACTTTGTTGATTTTGACGGGACGGGATGTATTGTGGTGAAAGTATCCAGGCTACGCCGAACCGTATTCTCCCGGCTTTGTGCCATGTCCAACGCTCTATTTCTCTCTAGCCGTTCGGTCACCCTTTATGTTGACACCAAACAGCTGGATTGTCGGGACACCTCTAGGATTGACACGCCAGCTTTGATGCGTTGGCAAACACACTATAACCACGCTTTCTTCTTTTGGTCCGAATTCACGCTGGACACACACTACACCAATACCCCACTAAAGACAGCCACCAACATGCAGAGATTCATCGACGTCTGCACCGCTTTCACGGCGTACTCGCTAGTATTCACGGTGCATGCGGCAGTGCCGATGCTCATTGCGCTTATGTTGGGCAGTACGTACAGTTTGTTATCGACACGGTATAAGCAGGGTGTGGTCCCACTGTAATTGGTGTGACGGTGTTTGAGATCAAAGAGCTGTTTACTGGACCAGTGTAGAGCAATATGCAATTATTGATGTCTAGTAACGGTCCTTCTTGCATTCCCATTCCAGTCGCTCGGCTAGCTGCTCCCACATCGGTTCGGCGCCGACTCTACCTACGCTTCTCAGACCTGCGGTGATGAAGGGTAGGAGTCGAGTAAACTCTTTGTCGACCATCTGAAGCGCTTCTGTAGGACTGCGGCCTATTGAGCGTCTTGCGGCTTTGCTCGCAGCAACACCTCCATCGCCTTCCACATCGTCATCTGTGTCCGAGAGCTGCACTTGGTCCAACAACGGCGCGCTACTCTTCCTCTGTGGCGCGGACGGCCGTGTGCGAACGGTTTTGCTTCCATCTAATTCTGTGACGGTTTTCGCGAAAAGTACACCTACATCCAGCATCTCAATGACAGCTTTGTGGAGAGGCTGGAGGTCGCTCGACAGTAACGCTCGCTCCTGTAGCTTCGCCACGTACTTGACGTGGACGTCTGCCATCTGGTCGATGTCCTCAGCCTTCCCCATTGCGGCCTCCATGTCTCGACTTGTGAACGCAACGACCGTTTCAGTGTAGTAGGAGCGGAGTATATCGACGAACCAAGTGAGTCGGTGTTGGAGTTTGTAGATGAGCTGTGCAGCGTTCTTGATCTTGTGAGACCGCGTGGGTCGAGCTCGTTGAAGAAGGTATTTGACGCGGTACGTCTGCAGAAGGGCGGTGTGGAACTGTTGGTAGATGGGCATCGCGGTGCGTTGTGTGATGTTCAGAATCGACCAGTGCAGCTGAGAGGATCGTTAGCGAAGCGATATCGCGCTGGACGTTTGGACTTACCGAATAGTCAACAGACACAGCGGCCAGTCCTTTGACGGACGGACCCTGATCCTTGCTCTTTGCTGAGCGCACCACGATCTTCTCAGCATCTTGTGCCTGTAGCACGTCACTGAAGATGCTCCGAGCGAGCTCCGTCAGCATGTATCGGTCGCTCCACCCTCGATGTCCAGAATCCATGCGCTCGAAGATAGCGTTCGCGAAGTTTTCGAACACAGCGCCGTTGCTGCCCAGGTACAGCATTTGGAAGATGGTCAAAATGCGCATGAGGCCCTGAGTATCGAAGATATGCGTACGCAGGGACGCAGATGCCAAGGAGTACTTGCTCCGAATCCACCTCTCGAAGCCAGCATTGAATAGCTCTGGAAAGGGCGATAGAGGAACGTCGTCTGAGTGACCACAGACAGAATGATGTTCAAGGGATGGCTCAGAATCGAGCTCGTTCAGGAGTGCATAACCGTGTCCAAGCTCCTTGAGGAATATGACGCTCTTTCCAGTGTTGAAGATCTTCAAGGCGGCAGGTTGTAAGAAAGATGGTGACCGCAACTGATCCTGCGCATTACGGCGAAGCACATAGCGATCATGCCACATCGAGGCGACATCACTGCCTGAGTCGTTCTGGAAAACAAAGAATGTCTCGTCGTTGGCTCCTAGTTCGCCGTTCTCCATCCATCGCCGGATAGGCTTGAGGTAAGTTCGCAGGCAGTCGAAGAGCATTGTCGAGAAGAAGTCAAAACTCGATTTCTGGAGTGTCATTTGAGCAAGTGTAGTCTGGGTAAAGAGCTCCTCCAAATGGCTGAATGGGTTAATGAGTAGCCGTGGCTCGACGTCCGATACGATCTGCGAAAGGCGTAGTATTTGCTCGGACTCGACCAGGACATCATTGTACAAGGCCAGCAAGCTCACTGCTACAGGGGACTTAGGAACAAGGTAGCGTCGTTGCAGTTGCGATAGGCGATCATCGTAATCCAAAAGGCGTTTTCGGGTGGCGGCTTCGAATGTCTGGATAAGCGGTAGTGTAGACGGCCGTCTCGTCCACTGTCTCAGCCGAAGTATGTCTTTGCCGATACTCGCAAGTTGGGATAAGAGGTGATCGATGGTGGCGGGTATGGCTTGGCTCAGCTTGAAGCGTGCGTTGACGCGTACACTGCTTCGTTCCTTGTCCACGGTGAATAGGCTTGTCTGTAGCCCAGCGAGCATGAACAGTGTCTCTCGAACAGCCTGAAGCTCCATGATATCAATCTTGGCGCCATCTTCAGCTGGGTGGGAGGACCAGAATCGTGCTGCTTCGACGTCTGACACGAGCGCATCGTTGGTTGGATCGATGCAAGTCCCTGGATCGTATGTATCATCCTCATCAACGCTGGTCGCAGGTGTGGGCTGCTGTTTCTTGCGCTTTGGAGGGATTTGTTCATCGCCAGACGACTCAACGGCGTAGTCAATGTCCTTCCATATGTCCTCATCACTGTACGGATCCCCTTCCAGTATCTCGTTCCATGTTAGCTGCAGCGGTGGACTCGGTGGCTTCAGCAGGTCCAGTGCCTCAACACGCGTGTTCTCCAGCGGTCTGTCAGAAAGCTGAAGGAGCAGTGAGAGGAATTCAGGTTTGAACCTGTTGCTAATGCCCTCCAGCTTCTGTAGTCTCAGCTGCAACGCATCAGCCAGATCATCGCGGTTCTTGATGCGGCATTTCTCGTCCAGTCCGGCAAAAATGTTCTTGACATCAAATTGGTTCGTTCGAGCATACTGATGCCCGCGCAGGCCTCTTGCTGCGAGGTCTTTGGCGCGTTTGTACGCCTGTTTGTTAGTGGTAGGGTCGAACTGCAGGATCGAATGTACAAGCTCATCCGTGAGGCCTGCTATCTTCGCGTTCTGGGCCATGTCGGCGCGCCCTTAGTCTGCAGCTCATCTGGCTCTCATTTGTTGACTATAGCAGCGCGAGGCTGTTGTGGTGGCACGCGTTGAGGTGACAAGCCCACCGGGCCCCACACTCCAGTTGCGCCTTCCCCAATGTGGCTTGGCACATTACGCACTCCCAGGTGAAACTTATCGACGAGTCGCATGTCATCTCTGCAAGATGGGACAATGTTTGCATCCTCGTCTCGTCGCACCTTTGATACACCATGGCGCTGCCGAAGAGCATGCGCATCCTGGCGGGTGCCACGATATGCGTCTTCGTCTTCTTGTTTGTCAAGATCTTGAACGCACCGTCTGCAGGTGAGCTCCAGGTACCGACTAAAGTTCCGCTGTCGAAAGATGGTCAATGGGACCACGACCCACAATTAGATCGTAAGTCTTCACGAGATACGCTCCGATTGTATGATGCGGTAGCTCATCAGAACATACAGCATCTGGAGAGCCTCCAGAGCCATTGCGACGAGTCGATGGAAACAACTACGCACCGAACAACCCGAACAGCGCACGCATTAACGCTACACTCCTGAGCCTGGTACGCAATGAGGAAATCGATGACCTGCTTCAGAGTATGCATGATCTTGAGAGGACATGGAACCACAAGTTCAACTACCCATGGACCTTTTTCAACGACAAGCCGTTCACTGAGGACTTTAAGAAGAGGACACGGGCAGCTACGAAGGCAGAGGTTCGATATGGTACGTATGGGCGCAAGTAGACACCCTGTAGCCACCGCTGACGTTTGCTCCCCAGAGCTTGTTCCCGCCGAACACTGGGACGTCCCATCATGGATCAATGAAGACCTCTACCAAGAATCCGTCTCCCTGCTGAAATCGCAGAAAGTACAATACATGGAGAAGAAGTCATATCACCAGATGTGCAGATGGAACAGCGGCATGTTCAGTGAGCACCCAGCTCTGAAAGACGTGCAATACTACTGGCGGGTCGAACCGAACGTCCACTTCTTCTGCGACGTCGACTACGATGTCTTTGCATGGATGCAGGACCACAACAAGACCTACGGCTTCAACATCAACATCTACGATAGCGCCGAGAGTGTCGCAACACTATGGCCTGAGACGAAGAAGTTCCTCGACGACCACCCCGACTACGTACACCCGAACAACGCGCGCGAGTGGCTGGAGGATGGCAACAGAAGGCCGGAGAACAACAAGAAGGCAAACGGATATTCGACATGCCATTTTTGGTCAAACTTCGAGATCGGTGACCTGAGCTTCTGGCGCAGCAAGAAGTACCGAGACTATTTCGATCACCTCGACCGTGCTGGGGGCTTCTTCTACGAGCGCTGGGGCGATGCACCTGTGCACAGCGTCGCGCTCGGTCTGTTCGAGGACAAGAGCAAGATCCACTGGTTCCGTGATATCGGCTATCAGCACATTCCCTTTTTCAACTGCCCCAACAGTCCGAAATGCAAGGGATGCGTCACAGGCCGCTTCACCGACGGCGAGACATGGCTGAACCGAGAAGACTGTAGACCACTGTGGTTCAAGTACGTCGGTATGGACTAAGCCTCGCGCTCGTTTGTTTCTTCGACAGTTCACAATACATTGCGCGGCGTTAAAGCTGAGCTGGCTCAGCATCAAGCATACATATGTACATCTACACTATACCACAGCCTCAGTCACAAGCATACACTGGAAGGCGTTGGAAGGATGGATCAGCGCTTTGGCGATGTTCGACCTGAGGCTGACTCGACGACTCTGTCGTCTATATATACCAATAGACCAATGCTTTACTCCTCAGTATACCCAAAGCGATTCTCGCTTGCCGTGATATGGGAGACCGCAAGATGTGAGATGATTCCAGACGTTCTAATATGCTTTCAGGTAGTGTGTTAAGTGTCACTCACGCCCCAACATGACAATGCGGCTCTCGCAGCAGGGCATGAATGTCTCCAATGGCTCGGTAATGATGTCGACCACGTTGCAGTCCTCCATTCCCAGTGTCATTGTGACGGGTCTTGGAAATTTGGGGATCTGATAATGACACTAGCATGGTCTAGAGACAAGGCTGGAGGGTCTTGGTGGGTTTCGTAGGATGAAGTGGGCTGTTCGTATCAATGGGAACAGTTGAGAAGCATCGTGTGATGATTCTGTCTATCTGAACTACAAATGTGTGAAGGAAATTGATCGCTGTGAAGGAGCTTGGCCTAGTTGGGCTATCGTACAGATCACTATCCATAGGGCTGAGGGAACGTTCCCTGGACACTGACAGTTCGTGGTCTTGTGCAACGGAAGATGTCATGGCAGGGTTGGAGGGGGGTTTGACGTCTATGTCATGGCCGTGCAAGACGCTGCTTGTAGATTCGGAGGTATTGATCTCACAGAAGCCCATGCAAAGCTCTCCATCGACCTTCAGATACTGGATCGAAGGCTGTAGCAGAACAGCCAAATAATGTAACCTGACGAAAGCCTGGAGGCATTCAACACATGTCTAGGTCCCTCCACAGGGTAAGAGTTGCTTCACGCATATCATGATGACATGGTGGAGTGATGCCCGAACGAGTATGCAGAGGGAGTAGCTTAGTGAGACTGCACGCAAAATCGGAAGCATACGAAATTCTAAGATTTGATACAGCGCATAAGAAGGCACATCGAAACAGCGGTTAGCCTAGCGGCTCGCGTTAGAACCAGATGGATAAAAGATCATGAAAGACGGAGGGAGGAGATGCTCTTGGGCCGTAGTATGAGCTCGAACTCGGCTCCGGTGTTGAAGGGGAGGTAGTCTGCATTAGAACATTGATGGGAAGGTGGAAATTGGAAACAAAAGCACAGGACGGTAATAGAAAATTGGTACCGAGGTTGGAAGGTCATCGAAGATGGGAAATTATCAGGATTGTGGCTTCGTCCCGAAGCCACAATTACTTTCAGGTGACGGTACTGCCTACGAAAGAAGGATTCATGGGAAAAGTACGCGAGATGAGTGGCAAGAGTAGCCGAGTGTGCGCAACCTCATGTTCTTGCCCACAGAACCTCAACACCACAAAAATATCATCAATATCCATCGCGAAACTAGAAAGTTTGAGTATTGCATCACCCAATCAGAGCCTCGATATTTATCACAATAGGTAAGTAACAGTCTCAAGCGAATTTGTGGGGTAAAATGCGAATCAATTCAAATTTGCCGTCCAGGGATATAAAGCACGAAACTCCCTCTGAACACCATTTATCCTTAACATAAGGAGATAATTAACTCAAGAGAAATCCCAAATACTAAGTCACCAATAGCACCAAATCCTCAGGATAGAATATCGACAAGAAATAAAGAAGGAAGAAATAAGTTAAAACCATGCGCCATCCCGCTGCACCAACAATAATTGCCGTCCTTCTTGGCTTCCTGGCCTTTATGATTATCTGGGGGAAGATCAGGGGCGATGGCCACCACGAAGGAAATCCGCATCCAGAGGATATACCGAGGAGAAAAGAGGAGGAAGAGAAAAACCACACCGAAGACAGTTAGTCTTAGGCGGGAGGAGCCTGTTGCTATTGCTGCTGCCTTCGCAGCTTGTATTTCTCTCGCCAGATCATACTCTCTCGGCCCTCGTTAGGTGCTTTTGAGATCCGCGAGGGGCACGCTTCTCCTTATCCTTGGTCCCAGGCTTGCGACCACGCTTTTTGGGTGGTGGAGAGGGTGGGGGAGAGGGAAAGTAATCCGGAATAGGAATAGCAACATACTTTCCAGAAGAGGAATGTTGGGAACTTGGTGGTGTGGGTGGAAGGGTAGCCGGCTCACCAGGAACCGGATACAATATCGAGAAAGGATTGTACTTGTCCTCCCACCGCGAAAAAGACGCGTTCCAGGCCAAAGTCTCTTCCGGAGAGATTTTGCCAAGGTACAAAATATTGTGGAAAAGCAAAGCATGCTCTTCCTCAAATGGCGAGGAGGACCACAACGCAGCTATTGCTATAAGAGCAAATTTGTTAACCTACGCTGCTTTGTCTCCACCGGAAAGAGCTGATCTCCAGCCAGCAATCCAGTATTTGACGCGCTATGCAGTGTCAGTAAGGTAAGCAACAACAAGAAGGTATTTACGTACCTCTCTATCCTTCTGGAATGATGCGAGTTCGACACCGTACTTGGCGTAGGCTTCTGCCCCTATGGCCATGGTAGAATCGGCTATGCACACGTTAGCAATCAGCACAAACATCCAAAGGCGACACGACGGCATGAAAAGGCACGCATCACGGTGGAAGTACACTACACGTAGCCCCGGAGGCACTCAAGGTGACAGGATTACGTACTGGACTTGGACATATTGAAGATGTAATGGGGTATTGGTGTTGAAAGGTGTTAGAAGGTGGGGATGTTGGTAAGTAACCGTTGTATTCCTTCGTACATGATTTTTTCCCTTCAGAAAAATCAATTTACTCACAATCAATCAGAGTTCCAACGGACGATTTCAGCACGATTATTCTACAATCAAATTTCGGAAACCTACAGCTCAATATGTGACGGTTTATGGAGTAAAGCGGTCATGTCTGCCACGTGTGCTGGTGCAGTGCTCTTGTCTGTTCCAATGGCACTTTCTGCCTGAACGACAGATACGTCATGTAAACAGACCCCGTTGGGGGTCGAGAGAGAGACAGAACAACACAACAGAATATACTGATTTTACTGCTTCGCGCGGTGACCCCTGACTTACTGCCCTGCGCGGTTACACCTTCACTTATTGCATTCACTGCAACACAATAAGTGCGGAGTCGCATCAAAGAACTATTTTCACAGATGAGTGAACACCCAAATGCCTGCCATTTGCTGCCGACCGCTATCGTGATTACGAAAGCCTCGGGGTCGCGTCTGCATGTTTCGAAGGTCTCCACTCCATACTTTGGCTCAATACCATGGGCAACGTTCCACAATGTATTCTTCACCAAGATTCTGAGGACTCCCTAAACCGTGCACGACGATTTCAGGTGGCTACAGGGCGGTCTACGCGATGTAACAAGGGTGCGAAGAGCGTTCAAAAAGCTTCACGTAGTCGGACAACCTACATCTGGCATCGCCTGCGTGTAAATCATCGCCATCGTTCGCGCATTACACCCTGACATTGGGCAGGTGAACTACCAATAATGGCGTAGACGGGCCTTGCCGGAAGAAGAACATCGCGTACCCAAGCACGGCTCGATGTTACCGTGGGCTCCTGAACCAAAATTGAGCAAGGAAGATCACAACACTATGCCGCAGAATGCTGTGTGAGTCAGGTGCAGGTTGTGTTGCGAATCAAATGAGGCTGGAACCAGGGCTGAGAGTAGTGCAGATCAACAGAATTGTGTGGTCTATGACCTGCATTCGGCCTACAGCAACGCAAAGAGTCAAGCTCGAAGCTGAAGGAAGGCAATGGTGCAAGTTCATTCTACAAGTTGCCACCTCCTTACCTTCGAGCATCAGCTGCAGGTGTATTCGAGGCGCGCACTTGACGTTAAATAGAGGGCCTTAATCAACGCGATGCGCCTGCCCGAGGCTACCAACACGAATCACGAACGAAGGCACGAAAACCGTGTAACCACAGCAAGTCCTCCACAACGTACACACGGGAACAAGGACACTCAATGCGAATCGCAATGCATTGTGCAGTACTCTAAAGCTTGCTCTTGAGCTGTGGTGCATCTCTCTCATCTGCTGCCTGCAAAACCTCATCCTTCGCAAACTGCTCGTAGTACTTCAAGCTTCCAGGATTCGCCAGTGTACCACTGGGCTTGATGATCTTGCCAGACACAATGTGCTTGACGGGCAACTCCACCTTCTTCAGGTTTACAGTAGTCTGCGACGCGTCAGTATCCTATTCACAAGCTGTTTGAGAGATACACACCGGGATGTCCCAAGTCTGGAAAACGTATCTGGGCACATGTCTCCGACTTCTTTCGCTCGCGATCTTGTCTTTGATGCGCTTCACCAAATCTCCCTTGTATTCGTGTCCCTCGTTCATCTTCAAGAAGAGCATCACGCTTTCGTCGTTATCGTGCGGTCGGCGCTGACCCACGCAGATGCTATCGGCCACTTCCGGAAAGTATGTCTCAATGACTGAGTAAATCTCGGCAGAGCCGAAGCGCACGCCGCTAGGGTTCAATACACCATCTGCACGACCCAAGAACAAAACTTGGCCAGTCGAAGGATGAATCTGGATGAAGTCGCCGTGCGTCCAAACATGAGGGAAGCGCGTGTAGTAAGCGTCCCGATACCGCTCTCCGCTCTCGTCACCCCAGAAGAATACTGGCTGGTTCGGGAACGATGCGGTCGCAACGAGTTCACCGGGCTCACCGTGGGGCACAGCCTTGCCAGGGCCATCTTCGATAGTGCTGTCGAAAACTTCCAGCTTCGTGCCCAGACATGGACCCTGGCAGCCTCCGCTAAAAACAGGGTCAAGAGGGTTCTCGATGCCGAAACAGCCTGCGAGATCGGTGCCACCGGAAATGTTACCCAGGTGGACTGTCGAAGGGAAGCCAACATCGTAGAACCATTCGAACTGTGAGTCCGATAGTACCATGCCGGTCGTGCATACGGAGCGCAGAGCCGACAGATCGAACAGGTTCCTTGGAACAATATCGTATTTCTGTAGTTCCTGTAGGAAGCGAGGCGATGTGCCGAAGTTGGTGACCCGCTGTTCCTCGAGAACGGAGAGGAACTTCTGCGCGGAAGGGATGAAGGGCGATCCATCGTACAGTACGGATCGACTGCCGAAAAGACAGCATTGTACTGAGACAAGGTACATGATCCAACCGGTCTGTTGAAAGTTAGCTCTGGTCTTCGAATCTACACTCGAGTTCTTGCCGTGGTATACTGCAACACAACGTTGTCAGGGCCCATCTCACGGTGCAGTTTGCTTTCTTTTATTATGCTGATCAGGACACCACCAGTAGAGTGGACAATGCACTTGGGCACACCGGTGGTGCCGCTGGAGTAGACGATCAGGAATGGGTCTCTGAAAGCCACTCTCTCGAAAGTCAAGGCCTCATTTCCCTCGGCAGCCTTGACGAAGTCTATGAGAGTGACGCTGCGTGGCACACCTTGCAGACTAGCCGGCTTTCCTGGAAAACGAGGCTGCGTAACAACTTCCTTGAACTCAGTCACTCCTGTCATGACTTCTACAATCTCTTTGATCTTCGGGCGCAGATCGATGGTCTTTCCGTTGTAGACGGTCCAGTCATCGATAAAAATGTACGCTGGCTTGATCTGCAAAAGTCGCTCCAGGACGCCTTTGGTTCCCATGTCCGTACTGCTGGAACTGAAGAGACCTCCTATACTCACGATCGCCATGAACGTGATGAAGGTGTCGGAGCTGGTGCTTGCAACCACTGCAACCCTGTCGCCTTTCTTGACACCTTTTGCAAGAAGAGCATTTGCTAGCAAAGCCACTTTCCGCCTTAGCTCGCTCCATGATAGATGTCGGACTTCCGTGTTGCCCTCGCGGACTTCTGTCAGAGCAATTTTGGCGTCTTCTTTGTGCTCTGTGGTTCGTATTGAGGGGTCTGTTGGTGAAGCAGAGTACAAGATGTTCTCGGCAAAGTTCAATCGTGTACCTTCGAACCATAGCGGTATACTGTCCATGGGTATTGAGGTGTCTACAACCTGTCATCCTTGTCAGTCCATGAAAAATTGCAGAATGTGAATGAGCGAACCTTGCTGTAGCTACCTTCGTAGATCAACCCACTGGCATTCCACATATCTTCCCAGAAGTCGGTGCGGTTGTCGCCCACACTCCAATTATACAACTCACGGAAAGTCTGTCAAGTCTGTGTGAGCTTGTCTGACATTTACAATTGAGATTGGCATATAGTTTACCTACCTGCATGTTCAGTCCTCTCTTATTGTTGGCTGACTGCATGAACTTCCACATTGCCGTCGACTTTGGGTTTGTATGTTGCCATAACTTCCGTGGAATCGCAGTATCAGACGACATCGTTCGTGATTGATTGAGAGGTAGTGTTTGAAACTCAAGATTGTTAAGCTCTCGTTGATAACGTTGACTCGGCAATAGCTTTGCGGGGATACCGCTCGTATATGGCTCTCGGCAAGATACAGACGTGACAAAATAGGCCGAGATTGACAAGGACAAGTCCAATATGAGAGACTTCAAGGTTTCTTCAAGGAACTCAATTGTATACAAACGCCGATCAAGGTCCGATACTCGCCGAGATTGTGAGGTGAACTAGAGAAGTCGCTGCCCCGTGGGGTTGCTTTTCCATGCGGAACCGTTCCGGAAGCCGAAAAGAAATGGAAGGTTCAGCCGAGCAAGCCGGCAAACCTTCGCACATAACATCGTGGTCGCGTAAACCCCCAGCGTCAACACGCAACATTGAGCTTTGCAAGAATGTGCATGTGAATCGAGTACGTTGTTGCTGTTCGCTAAGTCTACGCTGGTCTGCCATTCCGCTCAGGACGAGTTACTATTGTCCGCACAGGAGAAAGCCGAGTCAATGGACCCATCTTTGTACGCGTCCATGATCTGCACCATGACTCCGTACGTTCCACCAATAGTCAAGAACGCCGAGATGAGGATCAGTATGATATGCACCCCATACAAGGTCTTCCTCCAGAGGTTACCGCGCCAGTAGTCGGCGTGATCATAGATCCACAGCCAGCCAGGCAAACCCAACGCCAAAGGAGCGAACGCAATACTGCCCGCCAAAGAGAGCAGGTAGTTGAAGATCGGCACTCCCGACGCGATCAAGAAGCTAGTGATGCCTATACCAGTTACAAATCCAAACCATGTCCCCCAGTGGATGGCGGTGTTGGCCTGCAGATGCTTCGACTTTCGAAGTATCCTTACGAAGACGTACTCCGCGCTGACATGGACGTAGAGTGCGCCACTAACGCAAAGACCGACGAGTCCTATGCCATACACAATCTGCTTGACCATTGGAACAGTACTGCCGAGCGAAGGGGATGCGACCCACTGTCCGCAATATTTGTAAAATACAAGACTGAAGGAAAGGTATGCGGCTGTACCAATGCCCATGCACCAGCTTACTGCCTTTTGAGTACTCCTTGGAGTTCCTCATCTCGGACATGACTGGCACAAAGGCTGATGTTCCAGCACTAGAGCAAAATATTGTGGAAACTGCGGTAATTCCAGCTGCAAATGTCGGGCTGGCGATAATGTGGTATCCGAATTCGTAGTCTCTGGACTGAGGCGCCGCAGCTGTGCGGCCGAGTGTGGTCACTCCGACACTGGTCATGTCAGCAGAAAGTCAGGGTTTTGAAATCGAGGAACTAACACAACGATGAACATGGCAATGAAGACTGAAGCAAATACAACCCATGTGATCCATGTAAGCTTTTCAACCTCTGAACACTCGCACACAAGCCAATCATGAGGGCCGCAATGGTGGAGAAGTAGTTCGTGCAGAGAGAATGGTTTGACAGAGCGTTGGGCGCAGTGGACACCCAACCATGCCGGATGCTCCGACACTGATAAAAGCGACCAGGAAGAGAATTCCAGCGATCTCCTTCACGTCTCGTCCGCCAACAAGTTGGCCCATATTAGCGATACTGTGGCAGCCAGAGTTGTTGGCTTTGGATTGTCCTTGGACGAGGGCGCACTAGGTGTTTGGGAACTGCCAGCCAAGCATATTGATGGCATCCGGAAGGGCACCAAGCGTGAACATGGCCGATGGAATGGTGAGGACGCTGGTCGCGAAGACAACTGCACACCCGTTCTATCAACGTTGTGGAAGGGTTTCGGAGCGCAGCTGTACTCATGCTTCAAGAAGATCACCGAGGTGTGAATCCACGAAACTGTTCGAAAATTGACGAAACCCTCTCCTGTCCTGGAGACTTCACCATCTTCCAGGTCTGCTTTGCCTATGTTGATGCTGTCGGTGCTGCTCTGGGCAGGCTCGATAGTGTCCTCATGCTTCTCGTTCGACATGATGGGTATGTACAAGCCGAGGAAGAAACAATTGGCCACATGACAATGGTGAATGATGATCAATTCTCGAGGTCTCGTAGATGGAACTATATATCCGCTACATTGGTACAACGCAGATACGGCCCACGCCCTGATAGCACGCGCGCACTGGGAATCTGGGGAGTGTGAGTTGAGATCCACCGACCCACTGTATTAGAGTAGATAGTGGCGAGATACGGCCTTGTGAGTCGCGGGGCACTGCTCCAATGCGGGCAGGAGTCAAGTTTGAAGTCGCTCCGACGGATACCCCGGTCCATGAAGCGAGGAACGTGGTAAGGAAAATTGCCGATCTGGTAGGGGCTTCCGGTCAGCGATATCAGACTTGCATCTCGGTATCTTGGTTACGATACAACGCTTCATCGTGAATATGCGCAGAACTATCGTCACTCATGCACATGTTATGCTGTGGCTGGAACATTTGGTATTAGACCTACTACGCATGAACCCGGCAAGTATGCCGAAGTAACCACCTCGGGCAAGTCGAGAGCATCCATCGCCTACTGTCACAAAGTCTGGGCATGTCAAGTTTACTGTAGAGACAGTTGTGTCTCATTTGACTCTACAAGGGCTTTTCCTTCAGCTTTAGTCCTGCTTCGGCCGGCATCAGAGCTCCCTCAGGGGGTACTTTCTTCTTCTTGAATTCGTCTGCAATCTCCTCCATCGTGACGAATTCCACGCCTTCGTGCTTCATGAAGTGCTCGACCAGTCTGCAATATGGTTAGGCTTGTGATCTTTCAAAGAACAGATCAATGCTTACCTTTCGTGCGTCAATAGTAGATGCGGTCTGCCAGAAGCATCTGGATGGATAGTGATCGGCTATAAACAGTTCTTAGCAGGTGTAAAGCTGCTCGCGATATGCATTCAAAGCCTTACGAAGATAAATTCGTCGTGCTCCCTGTAGAAGTAGTCAAAATGGTCACGCCACAGGTCTTCGGTGTCTCGTGCATTGACAAAACCATGGCTGTTGGGTGAACCCTTTATGAACATGTGAGGTGGTAGATCATCCAGGTACCAGTTCGCAGGTATTTCGACCAGACCTGTGTCTTGGCCCTTGACCAGAGGCTTCATCCATTCTTTCGCTTGCTTGTTGTAGCCGATCTTGGTCCAGGAGTCATCAGTCCTCAGGTAATAAGCCTGGCAGTCGTGATGGCTCATGCTGTGGTCATATTCGATACCATATGACAGCAACAACTCGGCACCTTCACGGCTGGTTTCCCACCTGTACGATCTTGAGTTTTATATCGAAGGCTTTCAATCGCGCTTACTTACCATGGTGCAACACTACCTCTAGGCGGTGTCCCAACGAAGTCGGTCAGCATGCGATATGTCTTGTCAAGGACGTCTCGTTGCTGCTCGATTGTCATGTCAACTGCATTCTCATGGCTGTACCCATGCAAACCGATTTCGTGACCAGCGTCGCGCACTGCTGCCATGTCTTTGGGAAACATCTCCAAACTGTGGCCTGGAATGAACCAAGTCGTCTGATCGAGTTAGGTTTCGTATCCAAGAAGCATCCAAGATATCTCAAATACCTTTATATTGTATTGGCTCGAGTCAGGTGTCGTTTCTAGGAAACATCCAACATATTTTGCATACCTTCTTGAACATCTTCAAGAGACGCTGCGTGCCTACAGTACCGGTAAATATTCCTCGACTGATGTCGCTGGTACTATCTTCGCCGCCATATGATCCCAACCACCCCGCGACAGCATCAACATCCACACCGTAGGAAATGAGAACGCGCTTCTTGCCCATTGTGATGTTCCGAGATGATGCACAGGAAGTATGTTTTGGGTACAAGGGGTACTTTGGGACGCGGGAGTTATGGTGAATGTTAATTCAGATGACTAGGACGGCACGTTACGCTCTTATTACGATGTTCTCCAGCCGTTGCGGGGAAGTTTGTCTTTGAAATCAGTTGAAGCCAACAGAGGCTTGGAGAGGTGTCATCATGGGCTAGGGTTCGGTGGTACCTCCACAATTAGCGCTACCGGTAGCGCTAGCGCTATCTTTCTATCCCAACCTACTCCAACTGACAGAACGGCCGAGTTCAGCCTTGCACGCTAACATCACCTCATGAGCAGCTAACAGGAGCAGGCATTTTATCCAAGATGGCGTCGTCGCAATCTTTGAGCACATGGTCTCACTCATATTGTCGATCATCATGGCCGGACACATGAAGGCTGCGCAGATTCTAGAGGTAATGTGACGTCATCGATGTAAAAGGAAGGCATTGTTGGCCTTGAATGCAGTTCGATAAGCTGTATCAGCTCTGTGAGAGACCAATACCTACGTGTGATGAGCATGATCTTCTTGTTCAGGTGCATGCTGCTGGATTTTGTCATTCGGATCTGCAGGTCCTGCAAGATCAAATTCCCAGCAAGCCTGCCAATGATTCCATCTCCCGAACTAGCAGACAAAATTTTGCAAGTTGGCGCTCAAGTTCATGGCAGCTGGAAGTTTGGCGATCCTGTCTGGGTTTTGAACTTCAAAAATGCGTGTCGGCAATGTATAGGGTGCCAACAGCACATGAAGAGGTCGTCACGCACACGCATCGATCCTCGATTCTGCGAGAGAAGGCAGATGGTTGGCTTCAAGCATGATAGTGCCTTCGCTGATTACATGTTAGCCGATCCTGAGACCACCATCCATTTGCCTGAAGGGGTCTCATTTGAACAAGGAGCACCTCTGGTGTGCGCTGGAGTACGTGGAACACCTGGCAACATGAGTCTCGATGCTGACTGTGTCAAGGCGACTGCCTTGGGCGCATTACAAAAGTTGAGACCAGACGTCAAAAGTGGCGAAGCGATTGCTATCGTAGGTGTTGGAGGTATCGGCCACCTCATAGTACAATTCGCCAAGGAAGTGGGTTTCCGCGCCGTAGCCATCGATAATCGGGAAGAAAGTCGACAACTAGCTCTGGATGTTGTCGACCACCTGAAGCCGGATCTCGTGGTTGACTCCATGGCCAGCGATGCAGAGCCTTGTCGACAGGTATTTGCACAAGTCAATGAAAGGCAGAATAGCCATATAAGTAGCACGATAGACTTCAGCAGGACGGACACACCGACCGAAGTGCACTCTCATATCACAGAAAAGCTCGGACGCTGCAGCTACCAGTCCTTCTCTGAGTCGAGCCTGGGAGACCTTTAGAGTGATTTTAGCTGTCCTAGAAGGTAAGTAAAACCACTTGTAGTCTGTTATCTACATATCAATTGACAAAATGACAGCAGGCATGACTTGACTACCTCCCATGATTTGGAGGATACCAGCTTTTAGCCGGCTTTCTTCTTAACATGAGTGGTGCCTACAAAGCTTCATTGACGCGATGGGCTAGTGTTCCGGGAATCCATTGGAGTCAGTTGAAGTCTTTTCCAGAGTTCCCAAGATCGGTGCGGTTGGAGATGAAGACCCACTTCGCACAACAACTCTACGAATGGATGCAGGTACGTAATACTATCTTTGCTAGGTAGACTATAGCTTCGGCGAAAGAAGACGCAAACATCATGCTGCCCGTAGGAATGCAGCTGGTCGGAGACCTGTGGCAGGAACAGAAGATTCTCGACGCGGGCTTCGCATGGGAGTCTGCTAACGACTGGAAGAAAATGGGTGGCGATGACGCCCAGAATGTACTGGTGCCTCCAAGTTATAGATGTATTGAATGAGCTTGGTGTGTAGACCAAAACGCGATACAGACCCATCCATTCTCCTGAAGTTGGCAATTCTGAGATCGTGAACCTCTCTTCAACATTGATGTAACACTCATACTTCGATTCGAAGCGCCGATCAATTGATTGTATAACCTCCGTCTACCACTAGTGCATGTCCTTGAATGAACGATGCCTGTGTTGAGCACAGGAACAGCACTGCGTTCGCTACCTCGTCTGGTGTGCCCATCCGTTTCATTGGGGCTATGTTGATAGCTGGCTTTAGTGCTTCAACCATCTCAGGAGACGTCGTTGTCATGGGAGTCTCAATGACACCCGGGCAGATGCAATTCACTCTGATCCCATTGTCTGAGTAGTCGATAGCATTTGCACGTGTCATGTTGATAATGGCAGACTTGGATGCGCAATATGCAGCTACGATGGCGCGTCAGTATGGGATGCAAACGTGTGAGGGAATAACATGCCTGCACCTGGCCTTGCTACAATGCCTAGTTGACTCGCAATGTTGACGATTGCGCCTCTTTGCCATGGCTGCTCCGATAACGGCTTTTGCTTCAGCATGTTTCGAAGTTGAGCTCGTGAGCTCAACCATGACCCTCTGTAGTTAATGTTGTTCAGTCGATCGAATGTGTCCATTGTCATCTCGACTGCTTTTACTGGCTTGCCTCCAAGAACTCCGGCGCAGTTTATTGCGTAATCGAGTCTCGTGAATTTCGAAGTGACCTCATCGGTAAAAGAGTCTACAAAGCTTTCATCTGCTATGTCTCCCGCTTGGTCCAAGACTTTTATCGTTGAATTGATTGACATGATGGCATCTTTGGTCTGCTTTAGGGTGTCGGGGTTGATGTCCGTAATAGCGATTCTGGTGCAGCCGGACCTTGCGAAGCCTTTCGCGACCGCAGCACCAATGCCTATATGGCTGTCAGTATGAAGATTTCTGTATAAGGACTTAAGGGTAAACTGCCTATTCCACCGGCACCAGTGATGATGGCGACACCAGGTAATTTCCTCAGAATTGATGCCATAGTTGCAGGGTCAGGTAAGTGCCCGGAATAACTCCAAAGCAGCCGTCGACGGTTGCGAAGGTATCACAGGAAGCTTCGGCATCTATTTTGATTGGTATGACGTTTGATAGCAATGTGGTTTCCGCTAGCTCAGACCCTTGCATGCTGGAGCAGTGACGAGCCGTTATCTCAGGGTGCAGATTTGGATTAAGCGCTCTCTACATGGCCATGCTGATTGGTCATTCAACCGAGGGTAAGTGCCGTACAGGTTGAAGTTCGAAGCTAAGACCCCTGCCAAACCTCAGCTCCAACTCCAAAACAACATGCTCCAACGACGAAGGACCACATGCACAGACACTCTCATGTATGCAATCACTGCTCTCGGAGTTTCAAGCGCACAGAACACCTGGCACACCACCTCCGCACACGTACGTTGGCCAGAGGAGTTCGACTCCACTTTACAAAGTTAAGCAGCACTATCGGTGCCTTGAAAAATGTACGAACCCCCTGAATTTTGGCTCAATATCATTAAGCATACGTCACAGGTGGGCAAGAGCTTCCGAGTGGCTAGCTCAGACTGGCTGATAGGATGGGTGACAGTCTGGGTGACAGGACGCAGGGCTGAACGTGGGATACTTTAGGACATCAAGACAATTAACCACTCACGTATGTGCCCTGCATGCTATACTGTGGTACACACAGTCACTGTGCCAAAATTCAGGAGGGTCTGTAAATCTCGCAAACGATTTCATCTGGAGGAACATTTTGTCTATTCGGCGGACCCAGTAGGCAGGAGTCATTGTAGTCTTCAGAGATTTTATCAGGTTGCAAATGGCCTGTAAATCAATACTGAGTCCTTCACATAAATCCGGTCTTGTATCTAGCCTCGCTACTCAAGAGGGTCCGCCGAACATGCGAAATGTTCCTTCAGATGATGCCGCCCTTTACATCTTGACAGTCTAGTGATGACTGATTGATCAGTTCTTCAGATACTGGAGATAAGCCCTACAAGTGGTATTGTGGATCAGCTTTCACGCGTCGTGATCTCCTCACGCGGCGTTGGCGTATTTCACAGCATGACAGCGAGACTGCCACGATAACATCGATACCTTCCTCAGAGAGCAGGGCCACTCACAACACGCAACGGCAAGACCCAACGCACTCACCACAACTTGCCTTCAATGGAGTGACAAGCAACAACCACTCAAAACTTGAGAATGGATCTCACCTGCCGCACGAGCCTCGAATGGAGTATCCTACTCCTGCGCCCAATTTGCATCATGCTCAGATTCCTCTTATCCACCGAGGTGAATGACAAGCAACGAGAGATTCCTGATCACAAATAACATTTATAGCTAATCAATCGAGCAGGAGACTAACCTCAAGCTTACCATGAAGAAGGCCTTCAGGATTTCCGCGACTTCGTGAACTTCATTGATGGCGTGGGGCTTTCAGCGCAGTGGTCACCCGAGTTTGGATTTGACTGGTTGCAAGCTGGGGAACAGCAAACTCCGCAACAGCACCAGCATCAAGAATTCAGGAGACACTCTCACGAACCGGAAGAAAGCCATCTACCTGAACCTAAGGACATTAACACCGGATCTACCTCCAGGTCTGCAATGTGTGATCAATTGGTCCAGCTAGAACCTGCTCGGCGCACGAAGCTCGTAGCTTTCTGCTATATCAACGTACACAGCATTGCTTACATTGTTCGCCCTCTCCTATGAGCAGCGAGCTAACTTGAGGTTACCTTGCTGCACACCACAATGGCAAGCCATAAGTGCTGCACAATGGCCGGCTCTGCGACGAGACAAACAAAGAAGATCAGATGCCACTTTAGGAAGCGCTTTCCGTTTTGCTTCAGAGCCTAACAGTTACCGAGACCGTCCAGCGTATCCCAAGTCCTATCGGCAACTACACCCTTCTCCACGCCTTACTACTACGTATTCACGTTGTACGTGAGTTGTCTTTTTTGATGACCCTTTCTACCAAGATATCGACATCTGAGCTGCAGACTGTTAGTCGCGCACTCCGCTCTTGGACGTCATAGCTGCTGGTCTTGCGCAACTACCAGACATCGAGCGCAACGACAACCTTCTCTCAGCTCTGCTATACTCTATACACGCATTGAGATTCCTGTAAGACTTGAAATCGGCAGAGTAGTCAGGAGTCAAGCCTTCTTTTGAAGTGTTCAGCATGCTATTTCTAGCTTTGAGTGCGCCATCTTCTTAGGCAAGTGGCTCTGTTTACCCCCAAACCAACTACAAGAGAGCTTGTTAACTCGTAAGACTTTCTGTATCAACGAATTATTACTGAGGAGACATAGGGTCAAAACATTGCATTCTCCATTGGGTGCGGTGCATCATCAAAGAGGTATACGCCGTGGGAGATTTCAAGGAGACAGAGGGAATTGACGGTGCACTTACTGTGCTGGATGAACCTTTCGCCCTAGGTCTCGCCGTCTTGAATATCTGGTGTCGCTTCTTTCGGGGCAACACGCAGTGGCAGTTCGTGGTAAATCTTGGGATGAGCCTTAAGATCTACATGAGGAACCTGACTTGAGCCACCCCAGCTCTCGTACTCATGAGAAACTGGATCAAGAGATCATCAACGACAACCTCCAGGAATTACTCTACGTGTCTCGCCTGTATCCCTTACTGGAGTGACTGCGTCCAGACTGCAGAAAGAGCACACCACCTTATCTCAACAAGCTCTTGTGTGCTCCAACCGCCAATGTCGCAACGTAGAGACCGCCAGTCCAGCTCCTTGTTACCGAGTTTCTTGTAGGTATGAGAGCCCAGCACAACCGACCAACTACACCACTATTTTACATGATGGTAAGTTGCAGGGTCCGCAGCGTAGGCAATACGGGGTGTATCGTATTCTATAGTCTATCCTCATTTCAACGTTCGCAATCACAAACCTTCTTGGTAACTACCGAGTTGAGTGAGATTCGACGTAACGTGGTGGTTCCAGCAAACTGGTACATATGACGGTAAACTCCTTTCGCACCGCACATATACACATTTTGATTATCTTGCACTCGTGTACGTCGTCCTCGAATACTTCAAAGATTCACATAAACACGGATTTATGTGACCGTCACATTTCACCCTGCTCGCCCTGCATCTCATTTCCAACACCTTGACACAATCGCAATCCCATCCTAATCTCACTTCGCAAGCATATATCCCGAGTCGCGCATTCCATGCCTTTCTTCTCGCACGTTCCCTCGCTACCACACACTCATATCGTGGCTTGTTTCACATATACCCCCTCGAAATTGGCCCTCCTTCAGATTGTGACGCGCATCACAACCAGCGGAAGCACATGCTACGGAAAAACGCAAAAGCGCATGCATGACTCAAGCAACAGCTAAAAGTGTTTGATATACCACCGAGATCGCGAGATCGCGCCGTGGCGGGTATCTGGAGGATGGTGCGATATGAAGGTTCATTAACGGCGGCACTGTACGGGGATCAAGCTGGGAAGACCGGTTGAATGAGCCGCAAGAGTTCAACTGCCATATTACTTTTGCATCGTCCGGGGAACACGTGGTCCGCTTCACAGAAAGCATGCGCAGAGAACATTATCATGGAGCGCAGACTGCACGTTAAAAATTTGCTTGTTTGTGGACGAGAATCATAATGCAGCGTGATATCGAAATGTTTCAACTCCTCGTGCGTCCTCCCAGGGTCTTGCCCGTTTTGCCGACACGGTGGATGATAACGGCAACCCCACCATTCCAAGGACCCTTGCCTTCCTTCCTTCCCTGACATGTCCACGTCTTCCCTGCAGCCCAAGACCCTGCACGATGGTCGCGTCAATTGTCGGAAGTGATTCTGTGGACTCAGGATTCCTTCTGTGGGCGCGTGGAGTCAATAAGGAAATGTGTGGGTTTGTGAGGCGTGATGTGGACTCGAGGGAGGCTGGTTGCGGAGCTGTGCTTGAGCAAGTGGGTCGCAAAAGGGAGGAATTTCCGACCTGTTATGTCAATCCATATTAGATCAAGTGTAGCTGCGTGATGTAGAGTGGTGATGTACGTATGTACCAGACTGGCATCATGGTTGGTGAGTTGTTCTGCAGAACAGGTTGACGTGCAGGATCATGATGACGAAGAAGTTGATGTAGCACGGTAATCGTTAATATTGCAGTTGGGACGAGTTTCAGATGGTGAGATAGTAGATTGCAATTCCGCGTCTATGTTGAGCAGCGCTGGAGACTAAGTAATACCAATACTATAGGATATCATGAGAATCTTCGTTAAGACAGCCAACCATTTGTGGTAACTAAAGAAATTTTCGGATCAAAGATCAACGAAATGCATACTAGATGCGATAGCGACAGGCTGTGGGCTGCGAGCACTTCGCGAGCCAAGATGTAATAACAAACAAAACGTGCCCAAGAGGGTATCGTAACCTCGAAGTGGTAGTATAAACGCCCAATATAACGCCAGGTATTATGCAGGTCCAGTATGCTGAAGCGCTGTCGTAGTGTATCAGAGAGATGAAGAAGGTTGACATGTACAAGTGCGGAGGTGACGTGAGGCGGTGACGTGAGGTTGACAGGGTAGCGCATAAAGGTCGTGTATGCCTTTATGCGTGTAATGCAGGTTCGAAACGAAACAATTAAGCGAGCCGCGGGGTCGAAATATTCTAGAGCAGATCCATCAGGGACTTGCGCTTTCGCAGTTTTCCGCTCTTGACGCTCGCCATGGGGTTGATGTCCATGTCTGTGAAAGGAGGGAGGACGAGGGTAGGCTCGCGCTCATTGGCTCCTCTTGCGACCATCTTCGATTGGCGCTGAGGAAGGCCCATGGTGCTTGCTCGATTCAAGACTGGGACTGGAGGATGTGCTATTTCCGGCGAAGGACCCCTTGAGATCTCTCCTCCACGAGACTTCGGTCGCAGAATGGTGGAGGCCCGGCGCAGCTTGTTGGGTATTGGGCTCTGGAATCCGGATGTGGCTTCGATGGGCGCAGTCTGGGGTGTAAGGGGTGTGTACGGCGAAGCAGGGGTGTTGTGGATGTTCTTCTTTGACGAAGATGGGGTGATGGCGATTCTTGCAAGGGATAGCTTCATTGAGATTGACCGCAGGCGCTTGTGTGTGGAAGGCTTGTTCGCAGGGATTGTAGTGTTGGGGGCAGGCTTCGCAAAGGGATCGGTGTTGAGGAAGGCGTGTGTTGCTGGAGACATGGGTGTCGGTGGTGCCATCTGGTGAGAGTGACGGAATTGAGTCTGTGTTGTTTGGATTCGCTGCAACTCTGGGCGAGCTCCTGTGGGGATGTAGACTGACGAGCGCCTCGAAGAGGCATCCTCTGGTGTTGCGCTTGCAGGACGAACGGGAGCGGCGACTGCGGGCGATGCGCTGCGACTCGAAGGTGCAGTAACGACCGAGGAGGCTGCGGAGGTGAGGTCGCCGAGGTTCAGTGTGCTCGTCTTGCTCGATGGGCTGTAGCTTGTAGAAGGACGTCGAGGCTCGATGATGGCGAGAGGAGAGATTGGGCGTGTGAGTGGGGAGATAGGGTGCTTCGAGACAGGTACAACGTTCAGCGAGTGACGCTGAACCTGGTCGACCTTCTGCAGCTTGCCCAGAGCAGTTGTCGGGAGGTTGGCTAGGGAGGCGGACCGTTGTGTCAACATTGGGCGCTCTAGTACTGGTGAACTAAGATTGAGCTCGACAACCTTAGGGCGGCCAACGAAGGCATACGACACCTTGATAGCAGTGTCGCAGCTCTTGCCCTGGTTCCATCGTGACATGGACATCCTCTTGACTGAGTGGCATTGCTTGGTCAAGTCCTCGATAACAACATCGTCACAGTCGTACTCGGACTCGGAGCCGGAGTCCTCGCAGGCGGGTGACAGATCCTCTTCGCTCGACATGTATCGGTCTTGGAGGGAAATGCTTCCCTTTTTGATGGGCTGCGTGGCAGCGGTGTCTAGCCGCAGTGTCTCGTGGTCGTCGTTGCACAGGTTAGGGCTTGAAGCCGAACTGTCAGATCCAGAACGCTCAGTTCGTGTCGTAATGGTGGGCTTCTCGTAGTTCCACTGGGGTAGCTGCGTCGACACAATAGCATTGGCCATGATTTCTGGTGGAGAAGCAAAAAGTCTGGAGAATCTCAGGCAGATTCGGGCAGCTGATGGTTATTATTGTACTGATGCGGCAGTTGGCTGGCCGGGTGCTGCGGTATGAAACCTTGGGCGTGCAGGCTCTCGCACCAATGGTAACAGGCGGCGCGTGGCTGAGGTAGCACAAGGCAGAGAGTGAGATTCGTCACACACAGCTCTCACACTCTTGGACTCAGCAGCAGCAGACTCTGACTGAGACTGCAACAGGGTTCGGTAGGGAACGTGGGCGACTCGTAAGCGGGCAAGAGTTCTGCACTTCCTGGGGTTCGCTGAGGAGATATAGTGCAGGCGCACTTTCGGCCGTGCGCTGGCTCCTTCCCTGTCGGTGGTCGCTCCTGCATCGAAGTTTCAAGTACAACACGCGAACCCTTAGCACGGAACACCCAAGCGGGCAAAGCTCAACCCAAGAGTCAGCGCTCAGCGTCAGTGGCAGCCGAAAAGACGTGCACTAGGCTGATTGCAATCTCCTCCATGTCATGTCTAGAGTCCGCAACTGTGCACGCTGTCACAGAGGCCGCAATGTGCGCCCTGCCTCTCACTTGCGTTGCGTGCGAAGACCGCCATGTCCACCCCTGGCAGGCAGATTCGCGCTATTCACACGATTGCGCAACAATTCACCGCTCTGCAGCTAGCACAAGCTGCTGCACTCGCGAGGTGTGGTGAGGGGCGCGCTGGTTGGTCGCCGGCTAAGCTGCAGCGTTTTCGGCGCGCACTCCATACACTCACTCTTGCACAGCGTCTCGTGGTGCAAGACCCTGCGAAGTACAGCTCACCTTCGTCGTCCGTCTGCGAACCAGGGGATAGCTGCATTGCGGTGGCAATGTCATCAGAGGACGGCATGCGCTTGCGATCTCCCTCCTTTCATCTCATCCCAGAGCATACCAAGCCGCCTTCAACGACGACATCCCGCGTTCTCAGGGGTAGGCCAACCAGAGTTCGAGTTGCCTCACGAGGTGCGACATCTCAGTTAGTACCTGTGGAGACGCCCGGTCAATGCAGAAAGGTCTCACGCCACAACCGAGAAAGGGACCCGTTCGTCTGCAATGGCCATCTTTTTCTAGCCGTCACCGTCTTTTCGATTTTCGCTGAACCCGCTCTACCCGTGTTGCGCTGTCAAGAGGGCGGCGATCTTCGCAGACCCTTCGTTCAGTGTGCATTTGCACTGGAATGTGGCAACTCTACCGAACGATATTACAGTTACCTTACTCGCGAGAATCATTGTCGTACTCATGCCCTGACTATACCACGGACTTCTGACGATATCCGAGGTAGCATCTTGACAACAATCGTTCACACCGCATCAAGTCCGAAGTCCGTATCAGTTGGCTAGCTCTACAGACGGCAACCATTGCCAATGCCATCCCGCAGACTGTGCAACATTGCGCTCTATTCCTGGAGTAGGCATCTTCGCCGGTCCCCACAGATACAACTACGCACGGTTGCTCTCCTGCAGTGCTGCGGTGTCATTCGTTCTCTGCGCGCTGTACTTTCTCCGCCATCACCCGAATTTTCAAGCGCACACTTCAGCGACCACTAAGATACTGACGCTCGACACACAACCAGGTGGTCGTGTAGAGGAATGCAAAGCCGCAGCGCGTCTCGAAACCTCTTCACCCTCACAATAAACTCCAGAGCCACCTTGGAGCTGCTATTGGCTTGCACACTGAAAAGGGCGGCCACCCTCGCCGATATCCTTTGCAACTTATTAAACCTACTCACCACGAACGCGGTGATAGGCTCGTGCTGTTCTTAGTACGAAATGCTATCGATATCGGGAGAGTGCGATCGCCTCAATCGCGTCACTCCCACCGCTGAGGTTTGACAACGGCAAATTCGCTCCTCAGCTGAACGGCGCACTGTTTGGCGTACGCCATAGCAGCTCGAATGTTGCGAAAATGCTGCAGTGGCCACTTCCCTATCTGCCGTCGTCTCATCTTTCTGTCAACTTGTTCCTTTCCACATCATGATTTGCGTCAGTGTTTCCTTGCTCTCCCAATCAAACTGCAGCCATTTGGTTTTCGCTTGATTTTTTTTCGGATTGCGATAAGCTTCTTGCCTTTGCAACGTGTTGATGGTTGAGGATTCGTCACAAACGAACATGTTCAGCTCAACAGTGGTACAAGTTGATGTACCGGGTCGTTGCCGAGTCCACGGCAACTGCATCGGATATTCATGGATGCATGCCACCGCATCGAGATCTTCAGGTACGCTGCTGTGCCTGCCAATGCAGAATAAGCCGTCGAGAGATCGACTGCTAGGATGCCCAACGTCCCAAGAAACAGCAACACGTTGAGCAGCGTGCAGCCAGCTCCTTGAGAATCCACACTCATCGGGTGGAGTGCGGGTGAAGAGTGCGGGTGAAGAGTGCGAGCATATGGTGGATTGGGCTTCAACAGCTGCGGCACCGACACTTAGTCCAGGTACCTTCCCCACAAACGTCGAGATCGTGAATGGTCCGGAAGACGGTTGACGTCTGCCGCACTGCGCTTCACTTTGAATTCTGTAAAATGCCACGAATGTGGCCAATTGCATCGCGGTGCCTGACGCTGTTGAGGAGCGCGGGCTGGAATTGCCAGCTATGCAAGCCACAACTCGCTGGCTCCAAAATCAAACGGCCACCGCAAATCGTCAGTGGACAGGTACCAAAACCACGTATGCAGAGCTAAAGACCGCGAAACACTTCGCAGCCCTATGAATGTTGGGGAAGCCTGAGCAGCAGAACGTTTTCGATTACGGAGGCTGACAAAACTCTCAGCGGAACTCTTCTCCAACTCCAGATCTCTTGCTGGCCCAGGCCCACGCCACGAACTGCCCCGCGTTTAAAAGCCTTCAGCTGTAAGAAAAGATGACCATGCAGTTGATTCCCCCGACAGCTTCCGCGTCAGGTTGCACATTCTCAAACTCCGAGCAGACGCCCCAGCGTAGGCAATATCGCAGCTCAGATACCGAAGCGCCGATGCTACGGTACACAAGCGCTGACATTCCCAACCCGACAGTCCGTGTGGCACTTCAGCTTGCTCCAAGCGCGGAGAATATCAGACTCATCGTGTAACATGGAGTGCTCTCCGTACGACTACGCACGAGGCTGTCAGCACCTGTCAGCGCACAAACATTGGTTTGTTACACAACTGTCGACCCAGTTCATCGTATTGCCCACGACGTTCGAGCACGGTAAGACGGACGAAGGGTGGTGGTGATGCCAGGCTACACGAGCGTGGAGCCGTTTGTGCTACCACACAAACGTCAGCCCGAAATCGAGACAACGGTCTTCGCTTCATCGAACAGTTACATTGAGGTACAACATGTCAATTCTCGACAGCGATCCTGTTTGTCCGGCAACTGGACCCAGACTCCTATCATTGTCTGTTTCTGTCCTACAACGCAACTTCAAGGAATTGACGAACTCTCCGCCATAAGTCCGGATGACTAAAGATGCATCTTTACAGATGCTTGGTCATGTCGCGGCAAGACGCAGTCACTGTCTCACAGCCTAACGGCCGACGATGTCTTGGACCCTTGAGGCTCACTCAAGACATACCACACAAGTCGACCATGTCTGGCATGGCACGTAATGAGACCGCGGGGTTTCCGGTGCTTGACAGTGGTCTTTGTGGTCTTTGTGGTCTTAGACATCGCTCTCTGTCTCTTTCACAGGTCACTTACAAAGTCCGCTTGTACCGTCCTATGCCGCGGATATCTGCTAGGAACACGACTCATATGTGTCACTATCACAGCCTCGTTGCCTGTCATGTCGCCTTGGACCCTGAAGATTATCAGGAAAAGTCCGACAAGTCATGCACGACGATCATCATTTGGGGACGGTAGTTGGCGCGGAGGGTTGCATCGGTGGACTTCGAGATTGGGATTGTCCGGGGTATGAGATGACTCGCTCGTATGTGAGTATGGAGTAAAGGGCGACTTCTTGTGACTAACTTGTCGTGATCACGTCGGTGTGACTTTAGTTGCTTACAATTTGTTTTAGATATTTGTCAAGACTCACCACACACTCTACCAGTGTAGCTACTTCAGAGTTAGCATACGTAGGACCTCTTCTTCGACGTTGTTGTATGATTCCTCTACGACGCTAACGATGTGTTCAAGCTCCCGCTCCGTCACCAAGATGTTTGACGTCAGCAAGATGTGATCTCCACGCTCTTCGTCAACCGTCCCTGATCCAGGGTAGAAACTAATGCCTAGATCTAGAGCTCTTTGTTCGACTCGGATGCCGAATTGAAAGTGTGGATCGAAACTCTTCTTCGTAGCTCTGTCCTGAACAAACCCGACCGCAAAAAAGCAACCCCAACCTCGTATGTCCCCAACAAACCTCTTCTATCCCAAAGGATAATAAAGCAGATGTTGAAAGATAACCTCCCTTTTCTTGGAGTTCTCGATGAGACCATCTCTTTCAATTATCTCCTGTACCGCGAGAGCGGCAGCACTGGATACCGCATGCGCTTGGAAAGTGTAAGATCGTTACACCAGTTTCCCGATAATCGTGATGTCTGGCATGACACCTCTTCCTGCCACGCGAACATGGAACCAGTCCGTCCCAAACCGCATATTATTTCATCAAGGGTCATGAAAGCGCCGTGCTTCTCTCACACCCTTTTCATCGCCTGGAAACATCCTGGGACTGGTGGGACGCAGCCAGCCACCGATCCGCTGTCTATCTCAGTCACGAACGCGATGACCTTGGAGGGTCCTATGCGGTGAAATTCGTTATCTAACTCAAGGGCGAGCTTGTTGACATAAGCTGCGTTTGTTTATCGGTGCCTTGAAAAATGTACGAACCCCCTGAATTTTGGCTCAATATCATCAAGCATACGTCACAGGTGGGTGAGAGCTTCCGAGTGGCTAGCTAAGGCTGGTTGATAGAATGGGTGACAGTCTGGGTGACAGTCTGGGTGACAGGACGCATGGCAGAACGTGGGATACTTTAGGGCATCAAGACAATTAACCACTCACGTATGTGCCCTGCATGCTATACTGTGGTACATACAGTCACTGTGCCAAAATTCAGGGGGTCCGTACATTTCGAAAACGACTGTAATCGATTGCCTTGTACTGTTGAATAACACATGGTCTGACGTAGTTCAAAGACAAGAGGGTAGAGCGCGGGGAACCCCAGAAATAACAGGTAACGGCAGGCCCTCATTTGTCATTGGTAATCGATTACAGGTCCCAGAGCAGCACTAATCCCTTTCTCCGTAAGCAGGAGCGCATCTTCCCTGTATAATTGGGCATTAGCCCCTCGAAAGTTTAAGAAGTCGCGATGACAACAAACTCCTGGCTACAACACATCAGATACTCTACTGGATGATAACACTAACGTTGGTGACTCAAGACAGTAGGCGCGTGCGAAGACAACAAATAAATCTTCCAGAAGAGCGACCACCGCAAGCTACTAGAGGCACGAAGCGCAATGTGAGCGACGCATCCTAGCCCAACGTACCCCTCTCGCAATACCCTAATGCCCTTGGAACGCTACCACGGCGTCTTGCAATGAACATGGAGTAGTGACATAGATTTTGGTGTAAAAGAATCGAGATGGAAAGGAAACTTTTCTTGGAGTGATATTTTGCGCACCTGCGGTTAGTTGGGCGGCCATTGTGAATAACGTCGCAAGGAGGTTATGCGGAAAACTCAATCAAGGGTGAGTATGGGCACTATAGATTCTGCATACGCCTCTCCTCTCCCAAATGTACGCACACGCGTCTCACGGATCATGAAGTGAAGCCTGAATGTTATAGTCAAGGATGCGCGTTTGTGTGTACAAATGTTGCGAGATGCGAATGTCCAACCTGATACATGACTAGAGCATCACAAAGTGTGAAGTTATCGAGACATACGGATGCAAGCAATTATTGCCATCGCAAGGTGCAGATATCGTATTGAGTGCCAACGCAGGGTTAAGTATCTCAATACCACAATTCTGTCAAAGAAACAGTGGTATTGTGAAGTCGTGCTATAGTGTGTAGCTAGAGAAAAAAGATTGATCCAAGAGATCGTGCCCATCAGAAAAACCTTGTAGAGCTCGTCTGGAGGCTTGCAGTACGCTGTGAACGTCGAAGAAGTTGTATCGGCGGTGGCGGCAGTAGCGAAGGCGGCAGAGCAAATGCAGGATTGAAATCCCGCAGCTTCTAAGATTCAACGCCTTTTCAGCTGCTTGAACCACTCATTCCAGTTCCGTCTCTCTTTGTCCGACTTGTGCATCTTCTTGATGTGCTCTTTCAGTTTGTCTTCCCGAGCTAGAAACGGGCGATTGCCGTACATGAGGCTGCGGTTGCAATCGAGCACCGGGCACCAAATGGCGTTGTCCCGTCGAGGATGAAAAGATGTATTGTGCCTTCGAAGTTCTGCCGAGCGACCAAATGTAAGGCCTGCACACTCGGGCATGTTACAAGTGAATTTTTTCGCTGCCGGCTCGGGTCTATGAACGACTTCGCTGACTGTCGCTCGTGTTCCATTGATCGCATCTAGAGTATGAAGAACATCACGGTCGTATTGGTAGGAGTCTGGCGTTGGATGCGGGTCAAGTGACAACAATACATCTCCTGCGCTCGTCTTCTGCTCAGGGAAGAAGTTGTGATCCGTTACAGCTAAAGGCTCATCCGCCGAGAAACCAATCCTGGAGCAAGCATCAGCGATCGGAGTGGAAATGCACTTTCTTCAAGCGAGTAAGGCCGTACTGGAAGCTTTTTGGATATTGCTGGCGCATGAGCCTTGTGAAATAGAGATAGTCAGGCTGTGCGGCACTGGGGAGTCAAATGTCAGTATAGTCGTACACATGTAGTGCTAACAGACCAGTCCCACTGGACCGTGGTCAAGAAAACATAGTATTCGCTGACTTACTCGAAATAAACAGTGACTGGGTCGTCGTAAAGCAGCGTTAGCTTATACTCGTTATGCTGGAGGCGAGAGGGTTCTTTGTTCGGGTCAACAGAAAAGGGTTGTGTGGAGATGTCGTTTCTCGTGAGGCTTCGGTACGGGTCATCTCCCACGACATCTAGAAACAGACCTGTTAGCTGTGAAATCAAGGATGGTGAGGAGTCAAACCGAGTGAAGATGCATGCCCGTCCAGTGCACCCTGGGGCTGTTGTTGCACCATGAAGCATGGCGAGAATCCAGGGACACAATTGGTAGGGTATGTCGGATTTCTGGTAGTTGCGCTTACGAAGCAGTTGGAGGAAAAGGTGTTCTGAATGATCGAGCGACTCTGTGTAGAGATCTAGTTCTTGTCAACCTGGAGGGAAACGGGATGGGAGGTGGCGGTGGTACACGGGTGGCTTCGAATCCAAAAAGAGAGGAGGGCACTTGGAGCAGAACAAACATGTATGTGCACTTGTTCTCCGCGCGCAAGCAGAAGAAGTGATGATGATGGGGGAGGAGGTGAAAGCGGAGGATAGTCGCAGAGGAGGTGGAGGTGGGGGTGGAAGGAGTTGGTGGAGGTGGAGGCCAAATTGCAAACGAAGCGGAGGAGATGATGATGACGGAGGAGGAGGTGAAAGCGGAGGATAGTTGCAGAGGAGGTGGAGGAGGTGACAGAGGAGGTGGCGGCGGCGGCGGCGGAGGAGGTGGAGGTAGAGGTGGAGGTGGACAAAAATTGCGCTGACTTACTAGAGGCGGCGGTGGAGGAGGCGGGGATGGCGAGAACCACCTTGCATCGAAGAACGACGGCGCTCTGATTGCAGATCGCCTTAGAGGTGGAGGAGGATCAGTTGTCGGGTCCATGCTTTGAGTGAGCGCATGCGTGTGAGGTTCTAAGAAGATAGGTAATCTTCAGCGTTCCTTTGTAAGATTTGAAACTTGCTGAAAGAAGAATCTGGAAGGATGTGTTGAGCTGAGTGTTTTCTGTATTGAAGTGACTATCCTGCCAGAAGGCAGCTCCAGTCTGGAGAGCCTCGTTTTATGATCGTTGCGCAGCGCAGCGACCAATTTCTCGATTCTGTCCAAAAGCCTTGTCGAAGGGCAACGTGCAGGCTGCGTTGGCAGCCATAGATTGGGTTCTCGCATTGGCAGTTGCGCGAAGGTGTTGCGCGTGAGAGAAAGACCGTGTTACTACCTTGCATGGTGGCGTCGAGCGACATTCGATAGCCAATCATCATTTCCAACCAGCATCTTCTTCAGTCAGTGGATTGGAACTCGAATTCATTCCAGGTTCATGCTGCAGACTTGCTCGGTATGCGAACTGTTGCTAATCGCTGCTGACATGTCAATTATTGGCAAACATTTTGAGCAAGTGCCAAGTTCGCCGCCAGTGGCCACTAGTGTTTGTTGTAGAATCGCGTGCATTAGATGTTCTTTACCAATTGCAAAACTAGAGCATAGGACATGCTTCACCTTTGGAGGTCGAAACTGCTTCGTAGAGTCAGTCGCCCATTAAGGCTCGTTGCAGTGCTGACACTCGTGGACGTGTACATGGACGGTCTGGAGACACATTGGCAGGACATTTTGATTGGCCATTCTTACCGCCTATGAGAAATTGTCAGCGTGAATGAAAGGCTCAACTAGATGTACAGCGGTGTCACTGGCATTCTGTGGGCTGGCCTCCAACACTCGCAACTCGCGACGAACCCAGAGAATACTGAGCCCGGAGGGCGAGCCGGTGAGCCATGAATCAGGTCACTAAACCGTCTAAGCATTCATACCGACTGGACCAGATGATGGTGAGATGATTGCATCGTTCTCATAAAAGTCTGGCCGATCCGCGGAACTCACAACCGGCGGCCTGCGGTGAACAATGAGATGCTGCAGGCTTCATACTGATAGAATGAACTACAGGTGTGAAGGGAACGAAATATGTGTATCAGGATAGGTTTCAGAAGTGCCAGGGTAAGGTCTTATGCAGCTGCGTCGGGGTGGCCCAATCAGATGGAAGTAGGATTATGTAGAGAAAGCTCTATCCCTGCAAGCTGAAGAAGAGGAGCGTTGGATCGAACCTCCATATAAGCATCTCCAGACCGAAAACCAGCGTACTGAAACTGTCCCGTAGCATGCTGAAGCCCGCAACATCTTCGCCAGAGATCGATCTTTCTGTGTTTCAAGACTTCCTAAGACGCAGGACATGAGGAAGAAGAGGCGCATGAGGCTCACCCAAGTATGCGACTGACGAGCCGATTTGAGGATATCCTTAGATGTGTTGTTGAATGGATTGTGAAATTTCAACTGCTGCGACATGTTCGGTGGAACGAGGCTGCATCCAGATGGAGATGTGGAATGTAGGAAAAAGATCGGTCACGGTGCACCCGCCGGTGAGGTCGGAACCATGCTAGCGACTTTCTTCAACTTTTGGTTTACTATATTCTTGAAACATTCATCGCATTTTCGTGAATCTGCTCGCAAACTGTCTATTGCGCACTTTCCCACCGAGCTGTCATGGTCTTATGTTCGTTCACAATCGATCGTGCATCATCTGGACAAACAACATCAATACATGCGCACTTAACCTGCATTTTAGTGTGCATAACCTCAAAAAAAGCCATGGATGTCTATTTCGACATTGTACACATATTTGATGTGTTATCTGCAGGAATATGACAATCCAAATGGGGAGAGATTAAAGAGGATGACGGCGATTGGTGTGCGTTCCACTGTAATCCGGTTTAAGAACCACGGACAGCCCACCGCCATCGGCCTGCGCATACACGATGTATTGGAACAATCACACTGTTCATGATCGAGCCAGACGATTAGCATTATGACGTTACATGTCATCGCATACCATATACAATATCTGCTACACATTCAAGATGCCTCAATGCGTCTCGCTACTCTTCACCCTCTTAGCCTCTCTCTCACTGTCCGTAGCGTCAGCCCTCCTCTTACCCTCATCCTTCTTTCCCTCTTCTCTCGCCGCCCTCCTAGCCTCCTTGTCCGCGCGCTCCTTCTCCTTCCTGAGCGCCTTGCTCTCGAATTCGTGCCAGTCGCCCTCCAGCTCCTTCAGAGCTTCAGCACGTTTTGGCTGCGGCTGCTCACTAGCAAAGAAGGGGTGCTCGAGCACATCGGCGGCCGTAGGCCTCGCGGAAGGATCGTACAAGAACATAGCTTGCAGAAGCTCGAAAGCCATGGGGCTGAGTCGGTCGCGATATTTCTCTTCGAAGGTGGAGGGTTTGCGTTCGGTGGGACGGAGCAGGTTGAACCATTGCATGTCGACTATGCCGGGCCAATCTTCCTTTGTAGGTGTGCCGAGAATGTTGTAGATCTTGTCCAGCTGATTGATTTCACCGCCGTCGCCAGGGAAGATAGCGTGGCGTGTGAAGATTTCGACAAGGACGCAGGCTGCTGACCAAATGTCCACGGCAGGGCCGTATTGTGTCTCACCGAGCAGGAGCTCTGGCGAACGGTACCAGATTGTGATGACGCGGTTGGTGTAGTCCAGCTTGCTCCTCTTGGCGTAGAACCTAGCGAGACCAAAGTCTGCCAGCTTGAGCTGTCCAGTATTGGACACTAAGATGTTTGCGGCCTTGATGTCGCGATGTAATACGCCTCGTCGATGTAGGTAGTCCAGGCCTTCGAATAATTGCTTTGCCAGATCCTTCTTGTGTGACTGCTCGAGCTTGAAGGTGGGATGGTTCAGTAGCCCTGTGAGGTCATGGGAGAGGTACTCGAAGACCATGTAGCAGTCATTCTTCTCGACCATGACTTCTCGTAGTTTGACGATGTTCTCGTGGTTCAGCGACTGGAGAAGCTTGACTTCTCGAATGGCGGTGACAGGGAACTAAGCACAGTCAGTATGTGGTTGAAGGTACGTGTTTTATGCAATACTCACGCCATCACGTTCGCCCTCCATACGGATCTTCTTGAGTGCGACCATATCTTTTGTATAGACATGGACACCCTTGAAGACCTTGCCGTAGGTACCAGAACCAACCACAGATTCATTGCCTGGCTTTCGATAGTACACAGAGTCTGAAGCCGCGAATTCTGGGGTCAAGGTTGGTCGAGCTTTTATCCTCTTTCGCTTGACCATGACTGTGTTCGGCACATCAGGGGGTGGTGCTCTTCGATCATGACGGTTGTCGAGGCGATTCTCCGTGCGCGGCTCTGGTCGGCGGTCGTCCGGTCGTCGCGGTGGATATGGATCTCTGCGATCACGCACATCGCGGACGTCCCTTATATCTCGTGGGTCTCTTGGGCCTCTTGGGTCTCTTGGGTCTCTTGGGTCGCGAGGATCACGTAGATCTCGTGGATCGCGGTCTCTGACATCGCGAATGTCCCGAGGGTCACGAAGGTCTCTGTCACGAGGATCTCTGTAATCTCTCTCCCTCTCACGGAAATATGGATCTCGAACGTCTCGTGGGTCCCGTAGATCGCGGGAATCCCTGTCCCGTGGGTCCCTGTACGCCGGTTGTCGATCGTGGTAGTCGTATCGCCGGTCTCTTTCTCGAAAGTCACGGTCTCGTTCTCGATCTCGTTCACGGTCGTATTTGTAGTCGCGTTCGCGGTCGTTTCGAGCATCAGAGGGGTATCGAGAGTCACGAGATGTAACATCTTTCTTAGGCTCGAGCAAAGACTCTTTCGACTTTGGCTCAACCTTCTCAGGCTCTTCCGCCTTAGCCTTGCTGGCTACGGGGATCGGGTTCTTCGTTTTCAAGGAGAAGCTGAAGCCAGACTTAGGTTGTGTTGGAGCAGCAGCAGGCTTCGTAGGTGGCGGCATTTTCTTGTCCTCCTTTGGCCCTTCATCCTCCACACGCAAGTCTTTTGATGGACGGAAAGGGTTGTCATCAGCATCGACGGACGTGGTTTCGGTTGGTGGTTGCGTCGCTGGAGGATTCGGGCGAGGTGCTTCTGTGGCAGGTCTGCCACCTCTGGTGCCAGATGCTGGTGTCCACGACAGGTTAGAAAATTGTGTAGGCGCTGCGCCACGACCTCGGCCGCCTTGTGGTGCGAAAGCAGAGTTAGGGCCAGGTCCTGACATTCGGCGATCAGGACCGTTGTAATGGTTGCCTCGGCCACCACGGTATGGTCCGTTTTGATAGGCACCCTGAGGGTATGGCTGGTTTGCGGGATACCCCGGCGAGTAATTCTGATTTTGGTTGTATGGTGATTGGTTTGGCGAGTAGCCATGCATAGGTGATCTGATGAGTGTTAACGAAAGTACAAGGTAGACCGAGATTTGATCACTCACCCTTGGTTGGAGTATTGATGTCCATTCCAGCCTCCTCTACCACCGTGATAGGGCGACTGGTTGTGCGGAGAGTATTGGTTGTGTGCAGGATAAGGAGGAGAGTGCTGATAGCCAGGGCCTCCACGCCCCTGGTAGTGGTAGGCGCCCCTCATCTTGGCGTCGTCTGCCTTGCTGTTCGAGGTATCCGAGTTGTACCCAGACGCAGGCGCAGGCGAATCCTGTCTGGAGGTGGACTGGTCTGCACGAGATGGTTTGTCACCTTCGTCTTTAGATGATCGAACAGGTGACCGGGATCGGCGGCTTGAGACACGAGGAGAGCGACTCCTCCGTGGCGAGTACCTTGCGTTTCGTGCTCTGGGCGGCGAGGGCCTTCTTGATGGCGGGGGAGGCCGTCTTCGGCCTGGAGAGGGTGATCTAGCGCGCCTAGACGCACGACTGCGACTCCTTTCGCGGCTGGCGTGGTGTTTGTGCAGCCTTTCACTTGAAACTGCGACTGATGTGTTGCCTCGATCGACGTGTCTCCTAGCTGGGGATCTCCGAGGGCTCAGAACACGCCTGGAGCTTCTTCCAGGTGAAGTGGACCGTTTGCGTGGCCGATGTGAAAGTGGCCTGTAGTATGAGTCGGCAGATGGCGAGTGGCGACGAGCCAATGATGGAGGAATGTACGTGTCTGGTGTAGGTCGTCGAGATGTGCAGTCGCGATCTGAGCGCGGTGGGCGTGGGGAGTATGCCCTCGGTGTGGGACGGTGTGACGAGTCTGCGCGGCGCGTCCTGGACCTCGAGCGCACAGAGCTACGACTTCGATGCCGTCTAGCCCGTTTCTGACTGTCTCGTGGAGATGCAGAGCGACTGCGATGGCGCTTCGAGGATGGAGTCGTGTCGCCGTGGTCGCGGTCGTGGTGCCGGTGTGGGTGCGAAACCCTGTCTGCACTGGTTCTCCTCCGCGAGGCTCGATAACGATCGTCCCTGGAGCCACCTCGACTGCGACGACGCGTGCGGTCTCTGCTCAAACTTCTCTCACGTGAACGCCCTCCTGCGTGCTTATCTAACGAGCGAGAGTCGATATCGTGCGTCCGTCTGGAGGTGTCCCTCGCAGCGCGTGGCACGGGCGACGACGTTCTTAGTTCGTGGATGCGCTCCCGAGGACGCTCCCTACTTCGTTCCTTGGCCCTGATAGATGGTTCCTCTGGTCTCCACTGGTCTATATCCTGGGTCCGTCGCAACCCAGCCATGTAGGCGGGAATATCATCAGAACTGGGGTAGATACAGCTTTCAGAAGGTTCGCGGGAGTCTGAGTGCCACAACCGGACCGAGCGCAGAACTCCACCGGTAAGCCGCAACCTTTAGCCTGATGACGAAAAGACGCAACCGAACAAAAAAGACTGAAAGTCGTACTGCGACTGCTCTCAAGATGCTGCCAAAGATGCGCAGCTGTCGTGCGACTTCTCATATGATGATCCTGCTGTTGCAACGACCATGCAGTCGCCGCCATTTCCTGCCTGCCAAGCTAAGCCTCATGACCCGCGGAGCGGGCTGTAGAGCAGCCTTGGAGGCCTTTTGAGGCCTGCCAAAGCCACAAAGCAACTGCTCAACCCTGCCTGTATTGCGTGTGCGTCTCCCCAGAAGCTCGCAGTCTTGCAAAAATCCTCAACCAGTCACAATAGCTATCTAATGCACGCATGTCGAAAACTACGATAGCACATGCGTACCCGTGGTCATAGCCTTCCGTGGTGTTGTAATAGGTGCGAGCGCAAATGGTCGAGTCCTAGATGGCGGCAGATGGACATGGTCTCCGGTGGCAGCAGGTTTCCAACGTACGTGCCAAAGACTGTGCGAAGTAAGGTCACGCTGGTCTGGGTGATGAAGTGCGGATTCTTCGCCGTCTTGAGTAATGCCACGCACCTCTGCCAGCACACTCGAGTGGTCAGAGCTGCACACATGTTCTGGTGAACCGCAAAGCAGAGGACCAGTCCCTCCACCAAGGTTGTGCGAAGGATGCTATTGTGGCACCTTAGACAAGCAGCTACAGCTCGAGGCCGGTAGACGAAGCGATCGTGCACTGTGACTGTGCAGGCGCCATATAGCTTCCAGTATGCTCAACTGAGCAAAGGCAGTCCTCAGCGGCGCAGAGCTTACCCGTATAAAATGTGCGTCAAAGCAATAAGGTGATAGACGTGACGGCTGTTGTCTTCGGTCCGTGGGCAAAACCCTCAGTAATGTCGCAGCTGCAGGGTGCAGCTCTAGTTAACGAAGGGGATCATACACAACTGCTGGTTAGAAAGGATACTGCTGCGTAGCAAGAAAATGCTGACGACGCGAGCCCACCAACATGGCGATTGCCTACCAAAGTCACTCCTCCCCTTCACGCCATGCCTCCATCTCCATCGCCTTACAACCGAGTATCAATGTGTCGAAGTGCGCAAGATGACGCCAATATGGTGTTGGCATCCATGGCAACGCAGGCTGTTGGCGGCCAAAACTGCTGTGGCTACAATGCTGGTGGTGGTGAGTCGAGAGCCACCGTCACTACGAGCCCTTCAGGGCGGTCTGAAGGATGTTGTCATCCTAGCGGGAGCACTGTGAATATCGAGACGAACAGTGACTGCTCTCAGGGTCATTCACATACCTGTGCCAGGCGTGTTGACGACGGGGACGGACGCAACGGTGGTGAGGCCGATGGGTGTTGTGGTGCTGAAGTCGGCGTTCCTGCTTGATGCAACCGCCGCTTGCGGCACCCCGTGATTGCGCCTTCCTTCGGTTGGCCTCCCGCGAAAGCAGGTGCGACCCAGCGTCATCGGCCTTGGCTAACGCCTTTTCGGTCGAGAGAAAGTTATTCGAATATGGCTCACGGGTCCCGCGTCTCTCGCGATGTCTCCGGAACAGCATGCGCCAGATCTGAGTCTGCTACCCAGGCATCTGTGCCGTTCTTCTCTACATAAGCACGCCATTGACTCCTAGGTATATCTAGTCGACAGCCATAGCTTTTGCCCCTCCAAACTTTTTCGACGCGAAATTTCCCCGCAGCAGCAATGGACGAGCAGCGCAAGCCTAACGCCATTCCTTCGCACGTCAACGGTAGCTTACCGCATATGAGCTCACCACTGAACAAGTCGGTCAAGTCGCGTGATCAGAAGGAACGTGAAAGTCTCCATCATGCCATCCAGTTGTCAGAGCGAGGCCGTCAGGTGGTAAACTTCGACGGCCCGACCAGCTACTTCCCCGCCGGTTCCAAAAGCTCAAACGCCGACACAAATGGCGGCAGTGTGCACAACAGACACACCATTAGGAACGGCGAAATAGACGTAGAAGACCACTATGAGCCGCAGACACCGTTGGCCACCAGCCGTGCCCACAGCCCCTACACACAGCACCCCACAATCGACTTCGATGGGCTTAGTTGGCCCAGCAAAGGCACAAGAAACAGGAAGGAGGCGACTGAGGAAGAGAAGGCAGAGAACCTCAAGAAGCTGTCTGGTGCCGTGAGGACGATGCTGGAGTGTCTGGGCGAGGATCCTGACCGTGAGGGTCTGCTGGACACACCTGAACGCTATGCAAAGGCTATGCTGTTCTTCACCAAGGGCTACGAGGAGAACCTGCGCGATATTGTCAACGGCGCTGTCTTCCACGAGGACCACGACGAGCTGGTCATTGTCAAGGACATTGAGATCTTCTCACTCTGCGAGCACCACCTGGTGCCGTTCACTGGAAAGGCGAGTTCCTGCACACCCCTTAATCTCCTACCTCAAGAGCCAACAACTAACAATTACAGATGCACATCGGCTACATTCCCAATCGCCGCGTGATCGGGCTATCGAAACTTGCCCGCATCGCCGAAATGTTCGCCCGCCGCCTTCAAGTCCAAGAACGCCTTACCAAGCAGGTCGCCCTTGCGCTCTCCGAAATGCTGCAACCCCAGGGTGTTGCTGTGGTCGTCGAGTCCAGCCACTTCTGCATGGTCATGCGTGGTGTGCAGAAGACTGGAGCTACCACAACCACAAGCTGTATGCTGGGCGCTATGAGGAGCACTGCGAAGACAAGGGAGGAGTTCCTAAACCTCATCAACAGGAAGTAGAGCAAGCGGGTGCTCCTCAATCAGATACAGTCGCTACCCAGATTTCTTCGACACACATAGTATATACCACGATTGGCATGGAACGGCGTTCATGGCGCGGAGTTCATCACTCTGTATAGGAGGAGCTGTTTCAATACAAAAGGGAGAGGGACGGTCACTTCGTTGCGTTGTTTAGATCTAGATGCATTTGGCCTCTCAACAGCGCCAGGCCTTCAACAGGCGCTACACACCCATTTGTACCATTGTGGTGCGTTTCGATCGCGCCCTATTGATTCAAAAGCATCAATCCAAATCTATTCACCACGCGGGCCTGACCATATGTTCTGCCTATTTGAAAGCTCTGACTAGATCGACCAACAATGGCTTCAAGACTGGACACGAAAAGCAAACCCCGCTCCGAATCGTTCAGGACGTTACAAGGCAATTATTCCTGAGGTCTCAAATGCACTGTTCAGTGCGACATCGAATCATGCTCAATTCGCGACCAGATCTGTTCATCTTCGAGCATTCACTTCGACATCGGCATTTCGCTCTCGTCAACTCCGACTTCATAGCCTAACTCAACTCCGAGGCGCGAGTGTCAGCATCTTGGATGAACGACGATAACCTCCAGACACGTAATCAATATAAATTGATATCTTCTGTAGTTAGACGCCCACGCCCGTGAACTTCAACTCGCTACTCAGATCTAGTTCAGCCTCCTTCTACCCCAACGAATCTCTTTCCAGCACCTCCTACCCAAGCCTTATCACTACCATGGCCGACTCCACCAATACGTTCAAACCCTGCTGCCTTACCTCGTTTCAGTGGGACGGCACGCCGGAGGGCAGAGAAGAGAAGCTCGCCGGCCTGCCGACATATGTTACGGGTGATAATCCGAAGGCAGCTGTGCTGTATGTGCACGATGCGCTGGGGTGGCAGTTTGGAAATGCGAGATTACTTGCGGACCATTATGCGACGGAGGTATGTATAATCCCCCCCTCAACTCTTCGCTTGCTTCCTTCGTCAATGCGCTCTCCTTACGGGGTCTCCGTAGAGAGAGATCTTTCCTCCTATCGGTCAAGGGCGTGAGAGCTCAGGGACCAGATAGGTACTCGCTGCACTCCGACATTTGTTCGAGAGCCAAGAAGACTGACCAGCACAGGCGAACGTAACAGTCTACATCCCCGACTTTTTCGGCGGCGAAGTCCTGGACCGCGACGCTATTTTTGAGGGCCGCTGGGCCGACCTGAACATAGCTGACTTCAGGGCGCGCAACGAGCGCTCCATCCGCGAACCGCAGATCTTCGCCGCCGCCGCAGAACTTCGCAGCAACGGCTTCGAAAAAATCGGCGCCGCTGGCTTCTGCTTCGGCGGCTGGGGGGTCCTCCGGCTCGCCCAAGCTTCCCTTGTCGACGCAATCATCTGCGCGCATCCTAGCTGGGTGACGAACGAGGACTTTGACAACATAAATGTACCCGTGTTGTTTCTTGCGCCGGAAAAGGATGCAAATTTTCCGGATGAGATGAAAGTGTATGCGTTTCAGACGCTGCTGGGGAGGAAGAGTACGCCGTTTGAGTGGGTCCATTTCCCAGGCGTGGCACACGGGTGTCTGACGAAGGGGGATGAGAAGGTACAGGGTGAGCGGGCAGCGATGGTTAAAGGGAAGGAAACTGCGGTGAGGTGGTGGAGGGAGTGGTTGGAGTAGGTGGCGCGTCGACGGAGGGTGTCGACGGTTTGCTGGAGCCCATTGGTATTTTTGACGAAGGTTCTTTTCGCGCGTCGAGTGTACATTTATGGTATGTTCGAGGTTCGTAATATGTTGGAGTTCAGTGAACTGTACGCAAAGGGAAAAGGTTGAAGATCGTACTGAGGTTGTATTGGGTGAAGCTACAAACAGTATATATATATATATATATATATATATGTGGGTAGCTGTAAACAACGCTAGTGTGACGTGGCAGTCACTCTCATGACAGGTGAGGTACGACAGGCAGGAGTACCCCAAACCGTGACACAATATCTGTGTGTAGTGGGAAGATGCCCGATGAGATATGCTATCAGTAGGTGTGTGATGGTACTCAGAGCTTGCGGTCTTTACTGAGGATTGCTTCCCGAAGCAGTTCTTTTTGAGTCTGAATATAGTCGCCAGCAAATTACAATGGACAGTCCCTAGGCTAGGTGGTCGTGCTCTGTACATGCAGCTCAACACCGCAGTTCACAGTACACATGAGTCCCAAGGTTTGGAGAACATCGCCTACATGCTCGTAGTTGGTTCCGGCTGCGTTTCCTTGGTCACGTCCAGAAAATGCGCTCCCTTTCGGTAACCATCCTACGACGCGCCCAGGATACGGAGCGGCATTTGCCAAGTGTACACCATATGCTTGACACTGTGTCTCTCGTAACCATCATAGACGAGCCGAGCTTGAACAGCATTTCCACGCGTGCAAAAATCGATATGGATAGCTCCCCTTGACTCTTGAACTCCGTTCTTTGGGGTATACAGAATGATGTCAGACAGCTGAGATGTTGTACCTGTGGAACATCTCGTATATCCTCTGCATGTCAACGAGGCCTGATCGTTTAACGTCCGTCCCTACGTGCCGGGACGCACGGTATAACGGGACAGGTTCGCATTCCGGACCTTTGGAGTCTCTTGTACGCACGTTTACAGATCTGCAATTAACATGTAACGTTATTTAGCTAACCCTCCTCCTACCTATCAGCCTCCGGCGACGAGCACTGCCATGCTGGCCCTGCTGCCGATAGTTACGCCAACGCCGTCAATCGATCCTTCGTCGATGCCCCCCTGTCCATTCACGATTTAAGAGCGAAGTTGAGGAAGATTGTATTCCTGGACCCTAGAAGCTGTTTGACTTAAGGAGTGTGCAGTCTGGCAGTTTCGCCGGTTAGGAGCGAAGATCTCGAAAAGCGATCTAGCGTGTTGGAACACACTAGCGTGGTTTAGCTTCTAGCAGTGTGCAGTAGTGTGCTAAGATGTTGCTGTATGATATCGTATTGAATTTGACGCTATACTTACAGTGGGACAAATACCAAGAATAGCTGCGGCGCAAGCTAGTAGCTTTCCATAAGCATTCACAACTACGTGCTGATGTGTGGTATTCACGCGCGCTCTAGTCTCTGTTACGATTCGGGCCTTAAGCAAAGCTCGTAGACACTAGTCGATCGGTTCTCGGGGATGAGCAGAGGTACAGAAAGCCGTAGGGGTTGACAGTCACCAAAGCAAGGCTCGGGTGGTCAGGGGTAGACTATCCGGGCGGGTTGTAATAACCTTCGTAATAGTCAGGTAGTCGCCTAGTCAAAGACCGTGGCGACTGGTTGCAATGAGTAGTACAGAGTATACTGTCTGGCTCGAGAGCAAGTGAGATTCCAATAACAAAGTTGATTGACGAGGTTGAACACGATGCCATAAGGGCAGCGTGTCTACTTGCTATATACACGAGCAGAGGATTACTCAGATTGCTCGGATTGCTCGGTACTGAGTATACTGATCGTATTGAGTATACTGACCGTGCCGAGTATACTGACCGTGCCGAGTATACCGATCGTACCAAGTATACGTGCCGAATATACCGTTCGTACCGAGTATACTGCTCGTGCCGAGTGTTGCCAACGCGGCCTACTGCTTGGGTCGATCGATACTACAGCTCCTCGGCTCCTCTCATATCGTTGCGTAGTCCTGTTCGTTCAGTGTTGTTGCGGGTTGCCCTTTGATCGTAACAGTCTCATTCCCCTACCTTTCCTGCATGCCTTTCTATGCTGCGCACAGCACTGAAAACCGCAAGAGCATAAAACACAAGGGTTTATTAATAATGACTTGGCGTTAGTTATTTCCCTAGAACGCTGCAAGCTAAGCTATAATATGCAACTTGTGCGCCCATGTGCATCCCTATGGCTACTGAAAAGTAGAGTGTAGGAAATCAATGTACAGCAAGGGGCGATTAGCTCTTGTCTACACTTTGCTAAGAACACATGTAGGTGTCTGGGTTAACACTGCAGGTCCACACTCTGCCAGACCCCACGCCCATACCGACTGTGTTCCCGCACACCGCAGAGCATGACGGTCGATACTCTGATGGTATCCACAACACGTTTCTGCCGTCATACTTGATCCATATGCTACCGGAGCTGAGGCTTGTGCCTAGATACAGAGGGCGTTTAGGTTCAACAACAGCTACCTCGCTAGGAGTTCCCAGGCTGTGTATGGCAATGGCACCTATCTCGGAATGAAGAAAGAAGCTGGTGGAATCGAAGGATAGGCTGTAAAGAGGCCTGCTGATGTTAAGTGTCTGCAGACACGTCCCGCTGCTCGCATCCCACACCTTGACGGTGTTATCGTATGACGCCGACGCCAGCTTGGTTGAGTCGTGCGAGAAGGCTACAGAGCTGACAGCATCGCTATGGCCCTCGAGCGTCTGCAGACACGCCCCGCTGCTCGCATCCCACACCTTGACGATGTTGTCGTATGACGCCGACGCCAGCTTGGTCGAGTC